GTCCACAGCTTCCCAAAAAACCTACTGGGGCAGGAGGGGCGGGGGTAGGAAGAAGCCGGAGAATCCCTGGAAGCATGTCCTCAGAGGCCCGAGGCCCAAGAAGGGCGGAGGGGTTTGTTGGAGCCTTCTCTCACGTCTGCACGCTGTTCCAGTGCTGGGAGCTGCTCCCTCTCCCCGCAGCTTCCACGGGCAGCTACCGTGTGCCAGAGTCGCAGTATCCTAGGCGCCTGCGGTGCAGGGTGGTGATGGCCCATGTTGTGGGAGCCCTCACTTTTGTTAAGGTGCACCGACGGAATGGTTGGAAGGCTGGCCCTGGGGCTAAGTACATCACCCCATGACGTGGACCTAGAAGCCTAAGGTAGCAGGTGGGGGCCGGTGAAAGCAAAGATTGAGGGTTAGGGCACCAAGGGGGCTCTGGGTGCCTCCCCCCTCCCCCCCCCCTCCCGGGCACAGTTTCAGAATTACCAGCTTTGCGTAAGGGCTTCTGGAGAAATTTCAGGTGAACTGGCCTTGGCGTGAAAGAAACCAGAGAACCTCCACCATCATCCAGTAGGGGAGCCAGAGTGGGCAGTGACTTGTCACTGTTTTGTGAATCAGGAAATTCCTGCTGGGTCCACTAGCAGCCCTGATAGGGCCTGGCACCTCGCAGTCACTAGCTGAGAGGTGGCCCGACTGAAAAGCAGACCTGGCCACATCTTGGCTCACTTGCTGAGTGGGCTGTGCCTCGCCAGGTCCAGCTCACTTTGGAGAGGATGGCACCAGCAGTGCCGATGGCCGTTGGCAGTGAGGCCTCAAACATGGCAGTGGAAAAGGCAGGTACTCTTGGAGCACTGCCTTCCACGGCCAAGATGGCCGTTCATCTACTCTGAGAACCAAGAGCAGCCTGGCTATTCCAAAGGGAGCTTCAGAGGTTTCATATCCAACAAAGGCCAGAACTCTCCAGAGGAATTTTGAGAATGTTTTTGGAAACTTTGGCAACCGTCAGTGGGTCACTCACAACCTGGCTCAGCTGCAGAATCACTTTCCAAAAAGTGCAAGCAGCCATTGGAGGCCCAGTTCACATAGGCCAGGCCTTGAGTTGTGTGTAGATGAGAGAGGTTTGGAACTATCAGACTTGAGGCTTATTGGTCTTTACGGTTGGGAACTCTTGGCGAACCCTGTGTAGACCATGGGTCTGAGGATCACACAGGCATGAGAACTAGGCCCAAGGAGAAGATTAAGGCAGAAAGCATCATCACTAGGACAGAGAAGATGGAACCAGTGAAGTTTTTCTGTGTGTTGTTAATCCATGCCTGCCTTTTTTTTTTTTTTTTTTTTTGGACAGGCAGAGTGGACAGTGAGAGAGAGAAAGGTCCTCCTTTTGCCGTTGGTTCACCCTCCAATGGCCGCCACGGCTGGCGCGCTGCGGCCGGCGCACCGCGCTGATCCGATGGCAGGAGCCAGGTACTTATCCTGGTCTCCCATGGGGTGCAGGGCCCAAGTACTTGGGTCATCCTCCACTGCACTCCCTGGCCACAGCAGAGAGCTGGCCTGGAAGAGGGGCTACCGGGATAGAATCCGGTGCCCCGACCGGACTAGAACCCGGTGTGCCGGCGCCGCAAGGCAGAGGATTAGCCTAGTGAGCCGCAGCGCCTGCCCCATGCCTGCTTTTTAGAAACAGAAATGTGATGCTCTTGTCCTGAACTGGTAATAAACACAGCATTCGTCTTAATACAGAGGTCTTTAATCCTCAATCCCTAGCACACACAGGGGGTTGAGGGTTCTCAAGTAGGCATTCTTTTGAAGATTTTTGCCACCTCTTCCACCCAATTAAAAGGTCTCTAGCCCAAGATTCAGAAGCATGTAGCCCTGACCAAGAGAAACATAAACAGCCACTGAAGATGGTTCACTTCATTTAGTTCAGTGAGATTCAAGGATCCACCATTTTCCATCATCCGGATTGTATAGAAAAAATATTTCATTGGCTGGCACCACGGCTCACTAGGCTAATCCTCTGTCTTGTGGCGCCGGCACACCAGGTTCTAGTCCCGGTCGGGGCACCGGTTCTGTCCCGGTTGCTCCTCTTCCAGGCCAGCTCTCTGCTGTGGCCCGGGAGTGCAGTGGAGGATGGCCCAAGTCATTGGGCCCTGCACCCACATGGGAGACCAGGAGGAAGCACCTGGCTCCTGGCTTTGGATCGGCGCAGCGCGCTGGCCATGGCAACCATTTGGGGGGTGAACCAACGGAATAACTCTGTATAACTCTGTATAACTCTCTCACTGTATAACTCTATCCAAAAAATTTTTTTTCATATTGGAAAGTGGCAGGGGGGAATGAGTACACTGTTGGTAGGGGTTGAAATTAAAGGTCTTTTCTGGAATCCATTCTAACAGTGCATCGTAGAACTCTGAAAACTAACTTGAAAGACACAGTTCTGCTGGTTCAATTCCCAAATGCCCACAACAGTCAGGACTGGGCTAGTAGCTGGGAACTCAATCAGGTTTCCCAGTTGAGTGGCAGGGACCCAACTGCTTAAGCCATCACCCTCTGTCTCCAAAAGTGTGCATCAGTAGGAAGCTGGAATCTGACATGGAGCCAGGATTTGAACCCAGGCACTTGGCAGGCATAACAAGTGGCTTCTTAACTGCTGTACCAAATCCCTGTTCTGTATCTTATATTTTTAATGCACCCACTGACATTTACGTTTTAGCAGTTTGTACTATATAAAGAGCCAAGACAGTAAACACACACATTCATCACAGCATTTTTCAAGTTAGAAATGCAAATGTTGTTAAAATAAATAATACATCCAATCAATTAAATGCTCTGTTGAGAATAAAGTAGACCCATACAAGCTATTCAGAAACAGGTTCCAAGACAGGTTGAGAAACAAGCAGAAACAGGAGAGTGGATGTGTGTATGCATGCAGGATGGATACTCTCCCCAGGGAGAATCTGGGGGTCAGGTGAGCAGACAGAGCCTTGCTCTTCATGGTCCAGCCTTTCCTATCTGAGTTACCATGTGCATACGTCACATAAAGAACACACCTTAAAGCCCCCATCTCTTTCACTCTTTGAAAGCCAGGCTTGCTGCTCCTTCTTTCTCATACCTTCGCCCCAAGGACCATCCCACCACAGATAACCAGACCCTCTGCCTCCTCCCAATCGTCATCAAACAGTTCCAAGCAGGTTAGCTGTCCACAGGGGATACCCAGGAAGGTAGGGGGGAACCCTGCACTTTATCTTGCCATTGAGAACAGCAGACTCTCTGACAAATGGGCTGTGCATCCAGCCAGCTGTGGTTGGATTGATGCAGCAAGGCACATCCAGCAGTTGAAGCTGAAAACATTGAGGAAATTCAGTCTTTCCGTTTCTGTGAGTGTTAAGGAGGGTGAAGATAAAACAACGAAGATGGTGGAGAGAAGGAAAACCTTCAACATGGTTTAAAGCCACAGTAGGAGAAAGAAGGAAGAGGAGGAAGGAGCTAGATTTTACTGAGAAACAAACAGACTGCATTCATTCGGGAGCTCAGTAGAAGTTTACAGTGCTGCGTTTTGATTACATGTGTATGAATTTTAAAAGTGAGTATTACCCTCTGATAAAAAGGCAAAATCAACTTCCTTTTAGATTAGAACAGTAAGTATGGGGACAAAAATGGACCACATACTGCCCGGGATGAGCACTGCCAGATGGGACAAGAATCACCAGGTTACAACAAACACCGAGACTTGGAGAATCATCCAGAGGAAGAGACCAGGGTCTGTCTCAGTGGTGTTACCCAAAACAGCCCTCTCTCAGGGTTGTGGTTTGGGAAAGTCCAGACAGCACCAGTCTCAAGTGCTCTGGCCCCATGGCACAAGTGGGGAATGGGCTCCAACTGCAGTGGGCCAGCATCCTGCACCTCTGCTTCCCAGGCTTCTGCAGACTGCAGAGGGTGGCAGGGTGGCCTCAGCTGGCCCGAGATAGTAGACGCTGGAAAGTCCCCCAAGGAGGTTTGCATCACAGACCAATGGCCTAAAGTCATAGTTCTTGTGCCGTCATAAAACCCAAAGTAGAACTGGGAAGAGCTGGGGAAAATGGAACCAGATTTCTGTAGCCAGTGAAGTGAAAACTCATCAAGTCTCGCCTTTGTCTGTGACCCTGAGAAGTTGCTTGAGACACACAGCTTCTGGGGCTGTGGCTGGACATGGAAGGCCCGATGTGCTTCCTGCGGAGCTGCCTCTGGAGTCCCTGTGGCTGGAAGATCCCGGCCCCCTCCTCCTGGCTGCTCCAGAGGTCAGACTGTGAAGGAGCTCAGTGGGGCCCAGCAGAGCAAAGTAGGAAAAGCAGCAGCAGCTCTCCAGGTCAACCAGCAGCACCTGAGGCCTCTGCCAGCTCAGCACCAGGGCTGTTTGACACACAAGCCCCTTCCCTGAGGAATCCTTTGGAGTTCATTCAGTGGGCTACTCAGGTCAGACATTTGACCGGAGTTGGATGTGTCTATTCCTCAATCTGGGCTCAAGTTAACTGAGGCAGTGTCCAAGGTTTAACCAAGGAAACCATGCTTTCAGACACCTTGGGTGGTGGATGGAGAGGTTGAGCAAGGAGGATCTTTCTTCCCCAAGCTGTTGGGACAGTGCCACAGCCAAGACAACGCTCATCTGCCTGGGCTGACTTCAACCCTTGTTTCCCTGAGACAGGGGAGCTGCAAGAGGGAGAGCCCCTCCAGCACTGAACCTGCTCTGACCACAGCCCCACTGTGGGTCTCCTGCTTCTGAGCCACTAAGGGGAACACCGCTCTGGGGGGTTCTCTGCCTCCCCCATCTCTTAGATGACTACAGCGTCCTCTAGGAAGAACCTGGGGGCTCATGCCCTCCGAGTCTCACCAACCTCAAGTTGGCACTGGCCTCACCACCATCTTGAGGTGCCAGGAGCTTACACAGCTCTGGCTTGGCAACCTGGTGTGGCAAAAGTGGCAAGAATCTCTGTTCTTTGCCCAAGAGTCACACCAAAAATGTATGGTTTCACAGCAGCCACAGCATCTTGTTTCTTTTAAAAAATAAATATTTATAAACTTAGGGAGGAAGATTCAAAGAATCAAGAGTAACTTTCCCTCCAAAAGCACAAATGTCCCATATGAGTCAAACAAGGTAAGTCCACCAATACATGAATGCAACCCCCACCCCCAGGAAGCTGCTGTGTTGAGGGGCAGGTAAGTAGGGGAGCTGGTGCCTGGCTCCCAGCCCTTTAGTCCCCCTTGGTGATGAGGTCTTCGATGTAGGCATCCAGCTCGTCATCTGTGTTGATATCTATGTCCTGGAATAGAGAGGGGCAAAGTTCAGCGGGGGGCTGGAGGACAGCTGAGGGGGCTCCCTCTCTACCCTTCTCAAAGTTCCTGAGGCTGAGCCACTTCCACCCTTCCTGCCCCCCTCCTGCCCCACCCCCACCCCCACCCGTCAGGCTCCTGTCCGGCTCCTGTCCTGTCTTGATCACATTCCTCCCGCCCCTCCCCACCCCGCCCCATCAAAGCACACAGACAGCACACCCAGACTTCTGCTCTGCCCTGCCTCCACCCCAAGTTCCCAGGTGCCTTTCATGAGCTTCCTTCACATACTATCGATGTGCCCACTCCTTTCCCTGCTGTCACTATCCAAGGTCCAGGCCACCACTATCAACCCAGACAATGGAGGACCTCGTCACAGGAGTCCTTGCTTCAAGCCTCCCACCACCAAGACTAAGGACCACGCCAGGCTCCTTCAGTGGCTTTCCACAGCTCCCAGGCAGGGCCCACCTTGTAGAGGGCCTGCCACTACTAAGCTCCCCACTAAGGCCTTGAGTCCTACTGCTCCTCCCTCTGCCTGGAGCACTCATGACCTTCTACACTACGGCTTTCCTGTCAGTCTCCGCCAAAATGTCAGCTCAGCAGTGCCCCCTGAGCATTCTAGTCAAGGGGCTTCCCCAGTTTGTTTACTTCCTAGCACTCCCGCAATCAGTGATTGTCTCCCTCAGCAGCAGGGCAGAACCTTTTCTAGCCTATCTGCCTCCCCGACAAATCCCAAGGACATGAAGGATCAACACCCTAAAGGGCACACCCCACTTTCAGGCTACCCAATCCCAACTGCGCATCAGTCATCTGGAAAAGCAAGAACTTCTTTGTTTTATGGCTTGGAGGGTTCTCAAACCAGGTTGTACATCGGAATGTCTAAACAAAGGACAGAGTCAGGTTCAGTGGGTCTGGCTGGGATGAGACCCAGACAGCCACACCACCTCAAGCCCTCCTGGTCAGGACACTGTGCAGTCAGGGTTGCACCCACACATTCCTGTGAATGGAGAGCGTGGTGAGAAGGGAGGAGGAGGTCCCCAGGCCCCCCACCCTCAGAGACCAGGTGGTCCAGCTGCAATGAGAGGGCTGCCTGGCTCACCTCCTGCACCTTTTGCAGGAGTGCCACGATGTTGGTCCTCAGCTTCTGCAGCTTCTCCTCTGTCTCCCGGAGCTTTTTCTCAGAGGTGCGCAGGCTCTCCTCGGAGGCCTTGGCCCGCGAATCAGCACGGCTCTGATAGGAATGACACAGGTTCTGAAGCCCCACTTCATACTGCTTGAAGTACTCTTTCTGTCAGGAGGGAAGTTGAAACGTGAGTATCTGGTTTACAGGGCTCCCCGGGGAGGCACAAGGTGTCTCCAGTGGGCTCCACACAGATGCCTGGTTTGAAGAACATTTCAGAGAGTGCACGTGGTCTCTCTAGGTCGAGTTGAGAGACCTCAATGCCTACCTCTTGGGGCTGCTAAGAGGCTAAAACAAGATCACACAGGAAAAAGTACTCTACCAAGTGCTACAGCAAGCCATGAGTAATACGAAGGGTGATTCTTACCATTCCAGGTGGCCCAAAAGGACAACAAAATCACTCCCAGCTCAGTCAGGGTGTTTTACCCTCACAACAGCCCTTGCAATAATCCATTTCCAAGTTATACCAAATAACATCAGGACTAAATTCTCTTCTGCAAATATATATCAAACACCTACTAATAGCAGATCTGGGTAGTAGATATTTTTGCAGTATCAGCTTTTTACTATCTTCTCTGAGTGCCTGCAACCTCCAACAGTAGCATAGTAACGTTAACTAGCAGTGTAGAAAAGTAGGGAAACACTTGTTCCAAATGAAATATTATATGGGATCTCAGTGTATAAAACAAATTTAAATAGCATCTCTTTCACTTTTTCAAATTTATAACATGAATTATTTATATACTACCAATGATTATGGATTATGGATGAGGCCACTGAGCAGATCCTAGCTGGCCACTGCCACCTTATCAACTCTAGCAATTAACTTCTGTAAAGATGCAAGCTGCCTGGTACTGACAGACTTCTGGTTCCTGTTTTTAAAAACTTACTGGCAAGTATGTGTCATTCACCTTATAATCTAAAATATTATCATAAACTAAGATGACAGGAGAAACTTCACATTCTGCCCAAAATTATTACTTCAATACAATATTCCAACAGGCTCCAAAGAATTAAAGTTTCATATGCAATGTCTTGAGAGGGCAATTGTGGTTTCTCCTAGTTTTTTGAGAACTTTTTATTTTGAGCTAACCATAATTTCAATTGTTACTTTCTTAAAAAAATATAATCTGCAGAGTTTTATAAGGCTTGAAGGTCTGGCAGGATGGGGAAGGACAGCCTTTTAGACTGGAAAGGACTTAATAATAAACAGACTCCACTGTGTTCCTGATACCAAAAGAAAGTCTGAGTGGTTCAGACATTACAACTAGGAGGACAAAGCTGATCTGCTGGGTTCTACCTCCTTTCAGAAAAATCAGCTCTCTCCACTATTTTTAGACTCAAAATGCTCCTGCTGACTTTGAGTCCACTGTAGAGATCCCGCTGTACCCAGGCTTTGCCCTGAGTTTGGCAGCAACTTTGAGCCAAAAGCAACAAATATGACTGACAAGATGCCAGGCAGACCCAGCCAGCCATTGGTTCCTCCTGGGATTTGCAGAGTGGCTGTAACCTAAACAAGGGCAAAAGTTGAAACATGGAGCTTTCTGTGAAGACACTGTGATGACTTGGGCCACCTTCCAGCTTTCTCATCAAGTACCATACCCTCTCACCTCACAGCAGGAGCAGGGCAGCCTTGGGTGAGGAAGACATTTACCTCTCTGAGTCTTTTTCTCTTTGCCTCCAGCTTCATTTCACTTTTTAGAAAGTAGAATGGAGATAAAACCCCATATTTTTCTGTCTGGCAAACTTTACCAAGCACACAGCTGCCATATCAGGGCCTGCCATCTTGAATATACTAACTTTATACGGTTTCCATTCCAGTCCTCTTTAGACGCTGTCGCCTAGAAAACCTAAGGTATTCCTACCACAGCAGCATCCCACTTGAGGGGATGACTCCCAATCCCTGTCTCTAGCTCTGGCTTCCCTCTCCCTCCAAGTGCCAGTCCCCAATCTCTCCCTGCCCACTGCACATTACTGCATTCTGCAGGGGGACAGAAAGAGGGATTTAGTGATGTCAGCCACGCCTGTGCTCGTATCTCCAGCACAACACAATCTCAACTCACCTTACTCCCAGTCAATGGCTTTGTCAGCAACCTCCAAATCTCACAGGCCTGAAGCACAGGGCAGCACATGGTCTCTGCCACCTTCCTGTCACCTATGACTTGCTTACCGTCACGCCTAGTCTGTCAACAACCTGTGATACACTCCTTGTATCCACCGGCCCATTCCCATCCCGCTGCCTCCCATTTCCAATTGCTCATCTCTGACCGGATTCCCTGCCCCTGCATCACCCACCCAAACACGCTGCTACCAAAGATGCCTCGTTAGCAGTATCCCTGGGCCCAATCAGCCTGCCACCTGCTGTCCAAATGAACCTTTACTGGAACACAGCCATATCCTCACCTCTACCTACCACCAACAGACCCGAGTAGTTGCCACAGATTAGAGCCCACAAACTAGAAATTACTTGCTCATTGGCCCTCTATAGAAAAAGTTTATTGACCCTGCCCGAGGCATCATTCAGACGAACAATTCCTTGCGCTTAAAAACAGCCTGCTGGCCCTCCATCTTATAGAGTTCAAGCCGATGTGACTTCAACCAGGCATTCAGAGGCATCACAGCCTGGCTCTGTTTCCTCCTACCTTACTAACCCACACAGCCTGCTGCCCTGACTCCCCTGACCTCTGCTCACACAAGCCCACTTCTCCAATACCCTCCTGTCCCTTACACAGGCCAGCACTGCTGAAGCCCAGGTTTTCTCTAGACTGAGTTGCTCTCTCCCCATTCCCCACCCTGCGCCAGGCCTCCTCCCAGCCACTCCCACCACACTCGCTTCTCAGAGCTTCATGGTACCTCTACTGACTGAAGTTATTCAGAGGCAGGCCCTTTGCGCACGAAGAGGCCCAGCAAAGGGAGGTGATACATCGAGATCTGCTAGGCAGATCAGCTGAAGCACTAAGTAAGCTACACACATGGTGAGGTGCTGCATCTCCAAGAGTCACATTTTAGACACTTTAAGCCTAAGCTCTGTGGTTGCCTGGGACAGGTTTATTCCATTTTGCATGGGTATGGGAAGAGGGATTTAGTGATGTCAACCACACCTGCTCTCCCAAAAGGACTCAGTTGCTAGCACCTGTGGTAGACGGAGTTGGCTTTCTGCCTGTCAGCGTCATATCCAGTCATGCCACGTTTTCTCTACAGCAAAGTTTCCTTTTCCCTTCTCTTGGAAGAAAGGGAAACTGGCTGAGGTAGGGCACCTGGCTGAGCACCAGCCATCACTATAAGCTATCCATCACTACAACGGAATGTGGGTGTGCAGAATCAAATGTCAGGCCAGACTCACCAGAGGAAAAGATATCAGCTCATCTGAATTCATAGCACTCAGCTCCTTCTTAGAGATGGGGAAACTCGGAGGCAGGAAGTAACGTAAACAATTCCTAAGCGACAAAGATGAGGACAGCAATTCAGAACGGAGAGCAGAGAACTGCGGCTGGCCCCAAAGCAGGAAGACCAAAGACACGCACCGAAGGATCTGGACGAGCAGGTCAATGGTCTCATGGTTGGTGTTCGGTGCAGTGGTGTCGGGCTCAATGCGGATGCACTCCGAAGTAGAGGGCTCTGCTACAGCCTGCTGGGCCACCACCACCTCTTCTTCCTCCCCACCCAACTGCTGTGTGTCGGGGCTCTGGTACTCGGGGGAAGGGGGCTTCATCAGCCGCACATCCTCACTGCCTTTCTCTACCCTGTGGAGAACACAGAGTTTTTAGCCAGCTGTCCTGGGTTCCCAGGGTAGGCTGCAGCAGAGAGCCAGGGACACCTACTCCCCCTGGCTGACTTCTGCTATCCTGGCCTGCGAGAAGGGAGCATTACCAGCGGTCTCTCGGTGTTGTGTCTGTGGGCACGTAGTCAAACTTCACCTTCCACCGCACCGCATGTTTGCCCGCCTCCACGGCTGTGACACGGCCTGTGTACCACTCCCTATTCACACGCACCTCCACATGTAGGCCTTTATCTGAGAATGTGGACAGAGGCACACATCAGAAAACAAGACCAGAGCCCCTCAGCTCAGCCAGGGCTAGGAGCCAGAAATTCCTAGGTGCGCGCCTTCATCACACAGGGACAAGGAGCCCGGCCACCCTGTTCTCCTCCACCACCTGTCATGAGGATGCTGATGAGCAAGAGGATGAGTGACTGCCAGGGGTGCACACCAACGAAGGTGTCAGAACCAGCCACGAAGGGGTGCTGTCTTCACAATTCTGCTTGGGATTAGACTTGGATCCACTGGTACATAAAAGTCCAGGCCCAGGATAAACCCCCCCAACCTCCCTCCCCCAAAAAGTCTTCAGGATTGAACTGCTGCTCGCAAGAGGCTCCACGGCTTCCACAGGCTGCCAGGGACCTCCCCCAAACTCACCTTTCTGAGCCCTCTTGAGGTCAGCCGGGTCCTCTTCCCCAGCACTGTCTGAGAGCTGCAAGAACAGCAGTCTGTTAACAGACATCTTCAGGGGTCCCCAAAGAGCAGACTGCATTATGGCCATCCAGGATCATCAGCCATCACCTTCATGTCCATCATTTTTTAAATTTTTATGTATTTGAAAGAGGTGAACAGCCAAAGATTTCTCATTTGCTGGTTCACTCCCCAAATGCCTCCACCAGCCCAGAATGGACCAGGCCAAAACCAGGAGCTAGAAACTCAATCCAGGTCTCATATCTGGGTGCAGGGTCCCAAATAATTGAGTCATCACCTGCTGCCTCCCAGGATGAACATTAACAGAAAGCTCCAATCAGGAATAGAGCCAGGACTTGAGCCCAGGCACTCCGGCAGGGGATCTGGGCATTCCAAGCAGCACCTTAGCCACTGTACCAAATACCTGCCCCACCCCCTGTATGTCTTCCGATGCTGCAGTTTAAATCCCTGAGGGCCACGCTCTGCAATCACTGGCCCAGCCACCTTCTGCCACTTTTATAAACAATAGAGCAGGGAAGAGAAGAACACCACGGACAGGGAAGCAAAGCAATCTGAACCTACTTCTGTGTATCAGCATTACTTGAGGTCTGCGCTCCCAGCCGGTCTTACTCAGGAGCCTGCCTGGCATCCTGTTTCTGGTCGTCCATGTGACAGAACTTGGAGACCCACCAGGCCTCCAGAAGGCTTACGTTGCCAAGATCACCAGAGCCGGTGCAGACTGCTAGTGGGGATGGGAGGGAGGTGCAGGCCCCGGGGAGCGAGGTTCTTAGAGCCTCTCCTCAACACCTACCTCATTGGAGTCCTTCTTTTCCTCCTTCACTGCAAATTTGCCCCGCTTGCACCTCTCCTTCTTCCTCTCAGCCTCCTCCTCGGCTTCATCCTCATCAGAAACCCCAAGGCTGCGCTTCCGACCAGGGGTAGCCTAGGACAGAAGAGTGAGAACGTGAGCCCTTGAAGAGCAGGAAGATGCCGTCTGGTCTATGTAAGCTGCTCAGGGGGCCTGTTACTCAGTCCCCATCAGACATGACATGGCGCACACATCAGCCACCTCCTGGCCCCTGAACTATATGAGGGCCTCTGCTCAAAGCTGTTGCGGGTCAACCTGTCAGTTCACTCCCTCTTAGCCCGCCTGACACGGTGACCTGAGACACACCCCCACTGCCACAGCCCACAAAGGCCATTGGTCACATGACCTGACGTGATGCCAACCGATGCGCACACTGTGAGAAGCCAGTAGAGCTGACTCCAGTTCATGGCAGATCAAAACTCTAGGGAGCAGAGAAGAGCTCCCAGACAGGAAACCAACTTGCTCTGTGCCCCAAGCCCCTTAAACTGTTTAGACTCCCCCTCCACAGGGAGGAGGAAAACCGTGGGGTCAGTGATCTTCCCAAGGCTCTCCGCGCACAGCTTTGATCCCACGCAGTTCCACTCCTGCACCACTGACGATGGGCTGGGGCTGAGAGGAAGACATCTCACCGAGGACGGTTTAGTGGGTGGCTCTGGCTTCTTGACCACTGGAGTTCTGACAGCTCGGGGAGCAGGGACTTCCCGAGGGGTCTTCGCGTTGGGCAGCGCAGATGGTGGCTGTGGCTGACCCACAGGGGCAGGCCGGGGCACGGTCTTGGCCAGAGTATTTGCAGGCCTTCGAGGTGCCTCCGGTGGCTGGAACACCCTGGATGTACTGGCCTCCTCCCGGGCTGCTACAGCAGGAGGCTTTGGAGCGTTGCTGGCGACAGGGGCCCTTCGGGGCTGGCTGGCTGGTCTGGGCTGTTGCAGAGAAGGAGGTCTGCTCGGGGCGTTCTTGATCACAGCAGGTAAAGGGGGTGACCGAGGACGCTGAGGTCTACGCGCAGGTTCCTGCAAAAGGCCCACAGAGACTGAGTGCACTGATCTTCACAAGACACCTAGGAAAGCCCCTCCCACGTCCCTGGGTTTTACCTCAGTGGAAGGTCTGGTAGTCACTTCCAAGGGCAATTTCTTCAGGTCAGCTTGGGAGCGGATAGGTGTGGTTTTCTGCAGGGCAAATATGATAAAGTCTGCATATCTTGGTATATTCAGGCAAAATCATCTTGGATCTATTGTGTCTGGGACAGTGAGCAAATAAAATAAAAAATCTGGGGAGCCAGCACTGTGGCGTAGCAGGTAAAGCCACCACCTGCAGTGCCAGAATCCCATATGGGCACCGGTTCGTGTCCCAGCTGTTCCACTTCCAATCCAGCTCTCTACTATAGCCTGGGATAGCAGTACAAGATGGCCCAAGTGCCTGGGACGCTGCACCCATGTGGGAGACCCGGAAGAAGCTCCTGGCTCCTGGCTTCAGATTGGCCCAGCTCTGGCTGTTGTGGCCAACTGGGGAGTGAACCAGAGGATGGAAGACCTCTCTCTTTCTCTGCCTCTCCTTCTCTCTGTGTGTAACTCTGACTTTCAAATAAATAATTAAAAAAAAAAAAAAAAGAAAACCTGGGCCTAATCCTCTAACAAGACTCCCATTCTGCTGGGGAGACAAAAATTACACAAAACTAACCCATCAGCAAATCATAGGACACTGTGTGACTAATCCAGCAACTGAGAGACTAAGGGGAAAGCATCAACAGACTGAACTCTTTACAAACAGAGCCTAAAAAGATGGGGAGGGCCTGAAGGCTAGGAGAAGCCTGGACGATGCCAGAAAGGATGGGAGGATTCAGCAGACAGGGAGGCTCACAGAAACACTACAGGGCAGTGAAAGCCCATCTGCACAGGCACAGCAGCCAGAAAGGGACAGGTCTTTGCAATAAATATAATGTATAATGTGCCATCACAAACATGCCTAACAAATACTATACGGCCAGGGGTGGTGCTGGGGCATAGCTGGTAAAGCCACCACTTGCGGCACCAGCATCCCATATGCTTGCAGCACCAGAATACCATATGGGTGCCAGTTCAAGCCCCGGCTATTCCACTTTCAATCCAGTTCCCTGCTAATGGCCAAGGAAAGAAGTGACTGGACCCCTGGACCCACGTGGGAGACCAGAAAGAAGCTCCTGGCTCCTAACTTTGGGTTGGCTCAGTTCTGGCCATTTGGGGAGTGAACCAGTGGATGGACACACTCTCTCTCTTAACTCTGCCTTTCAAAAAAATAAATCTTTAAAAAAAAAAAAAACTTCACAACTAAAGTAATAACAAAAAAAGTAAGTGGGGAAAAAAAACAATTCTAAAAGAAATATAAGTGGACACATTGAAAAACTGTCCAATTTTAAAAATGAAAAAGAAATTAAATTATAAGGTGCACGTATCTTTGCCAATAAATTTGCAAAAATATTTAAAATTCTCATATGCTGCTAGTAAAGAACAGAAATCAACGTTTGGAGGATGATTTGGGAATAACTAAGAAACCATTAATTTTCAAAATTCTCTTACTCTTTCAATTTCACTTCTTAGAGAATTACCAAGAAAATAATTATGTAGTAGAAATATATGAGTGTATGAAATATATGGCATGATCTCTGTATTTCTACGAAAAATGTCTCTATGTAATTATGTATATGATGTACACAAATTCGTAAGAAGTCAGAAGGCTATGCAGTTAATGGTGGTTGCCCTTAAGATAGGATTTTATTTTCTGCAGTTTTTAGACATTCTAAAAGAAGTAGGTCACTTTGAAATACCTTTTAAAACAGCTTTTCTAGTTATTTTTTTCCTTTTTTTAAGAATGAACAAGGCATACCTGAAAAACAGTGTGCTTTAACGCAGAGGCTGGGGCTGGGATGCCTGGTGAGCAGCGGTGAAACTCAGCATGAGGAAGAGGGGAGTCACTGACGGGCACAGGACCCCGGGCACAGGAGGGCTCTGCCCAGTGACCTCGGTCCACATACCTGGAGGGCCTCCAGCTTCTCCTGCTGCTGGCGGATTTTCTCCGTCAGCTGCTTCTGCTTCTCCTCCTGTGTTTTCAGGTCCTTTTTGAAAGTCCCCAGGGGGACCTTCTGCTTCTGTTCAGAAGCCTCACATCTGTAGCAAGACCATGGCAAAGCAGAGTTCCAGGCAGGGCGGGGATCTTCCTCCCCACCCAGCTCATGCCCCCTCTCACAAGAGCAACCCCCTGAGTCCTCACAGCACGGAATTAACTAACATGCACTGCAAGCCATGTGTCAAGTCTTGGCACTTACTACGAGCAACAAAACAGATTGAGGGATATAAGTCTTAGCCTTAAGAAGTATAGAGGGTTATATCTACCCCAAGAATACAGGGAACAGTGGGAAATCAGGAGGGGGGCAGCAGAGAAGTACCCACAATTCCTTTGCTAGAGAAGTGCTCACCGGTCTTGCTCAGGATCAGGGTTCATGGAGCAAACCCAGGTGTCAGGGTAATCTTTTTCCACGGAATTCAGCTGGAAGGGGAGGGTCCTCCACTTCAAACATAAATCTGTGACATAGAAACACCCACATGTCAGTAATACCCATCAGCTGTTCATGGCCAGGCCCAAAGCAGCCAGCCCAAACATTCTATGCAAAGCTCTTCACTCTGGCTCCAACTCTGGCTGTCCTAACAGAATTATATTTCTTGGGGCCAACACTGTGATGCTGGCATCCCATATGGGTGCTGGTTCGAGTCCCAGCTGCTCCACTTCCGATCCCATTCTCCGCTATGGCCTAGGAAAGCAGTAGAAGATGGCCCAAGTCCTTGGACCCCTGCACCCACGTGGGAAACCCGGAAGAAGCTCCTGGCTCTTGGTTTCGGATCAGCGCAGCTCCAGCCATTGCAGCCAACTGGGGAGTGAACCAGAGGATAGAAGACCTCTCCCACCCCCCCACCCCTGCCTCTGCCTCTCCTTCTCTCTGTGTAACTCTTTCAAATAAATAAATAAATCTTTAAAAAAACAATAATTATATTTCTTCTCAGGGACAGTGATTCCAGCAAGGATAGAAACTTAACATCATGGACCCTTAATACACCCCAGACTCTCTCCCTCTAGTAGCAGGATCCTGGCTCAGTCATCTACAGCAGAAACAATGCGGTACCAAACTAACTGAGCCTGGCTCAGTCACAGCATGAGAGGCCTGGGAGGTTAAATGATTTTCTGTCTCATTCAATCAAACAGGAGAACTCAGCACAGACTCAAAAGACTGAGCTCACAGGGTCATCACTCTACTTGCATCTTCCCAGCAGGACCATCAGTTCATGAATGCCAGTCAGGCCGAGTGCCAGCACAGGGCCCCGGGGAAGAAGGCCAGCGACTGAGAGGGACAGTCAGAAGGAGGGCTCCAGCGCTGACTCACCACACTGGATGGTGGTCGGGATTTCCATGGCTCTCCGGCGTTTGTAACGCAGCTCACTGGATGGGGGCTGGTTCCAGTTGGCAGAGAGGTAGCCAAACTCATCCCAGAACTTGATGATTCCTCGTTGGGCTAGAAGGCAAACACCCGCACATCATGTCGGGCGCTAGGTCATGAGCCATCTTAAGGCTGGAGGTGAAGAGAAAGGGCATGGGTGCAGAGGTACAGCCCCATTACCAACGGCAATGTCCTTCCAGTACTGCGCCAGGTGCTCGCCCATTGCCCGCAGCAGGTGTCGGTACTCCTTGGCATCCGCAAAGTCCTGCTTGTTGTGTGTAGGCTCCAGGACCAGATAGGGCACATCAACAACCCCCACAACCCCACCGCAGGCCCTGCAGGGAGAAAGTGGACACAACTCTGTAACCTCACCGGTCAGAGCCCTCGCGCCGTCCACTCTGGCTGGAAAGCTCCCTCATGAAGTACTCACATGCCCCCTTCCAGCTGTGGCCCCACTTTCTCATACATCTTGATCAGACGGCTACAGTTGTAGATGAACATCCCGTCCAGGTACCGGTGTTCAATGTTGACCCCAAAAACGAAATTCAGCTCCTTAGGTTCTTTCAGTGCTCTAAGAAGAAAGAGAAAGAACTTCGTGTGGGCCCACCCACGAGCACACAACGCCATGGTGATCAAGGTATGTTAGGCTTCAGCTTCAGACAACGTCCAGCAAAACTGCATCTCCATTCCGTGCACAGCCTCTGTCAGAACTGACAGGAACACAAAACTGTGCAGAGGCTCTAGGCATCGCTAATTAAAAGCACACAACTTTGGCTTTTTAGTAACGAAACAGGGACAAACCCAAGTAGGAACAGATTACCGTGAAGCCGCTGCTACAAATCTCTGCAGAGAGGGTTAAGTGGTAGAATAAACATAAAAGTATCTTCATACCTTCCCCAAACTCCACTATATGAAAGTCATTTAAAAAAAAAAAGGCAAAAATTCACAAGAACATGTGAGAGCCGACACCAACAGATGCTGAAAAGCAAATGGAGGAGCTGTGGAATGACTCAGGCTGACGTAACCTGGAGCCTGAATCTGTGGCCAAGAAGAAGCAAGTCGGTAAGTCAGGCCCCGGAGCCTGGAGGCGCCAGACATGGAGGTGGGACAGTGCTCCTTCTACGTGGAAAAGTCTGTGAAATCCAACCTCCCGAAACAGTCCCCATTTGTAACCAATGATGGGAGAATGAATTTGAATATATATAAGACATAAAAAACTAAGAACAGATATCCCCAGGGGGTAGAAGCATAAGGGACTTTCAGATAGCTCTTAAATGTTTTGTATTTTTCAAATTTTATACACTGAGCATTCTTTAAATGAAAAGTGAAAAAGAGGAAGAAAGAAAAGGTGAGATGGTAGGCCGGCGCCGCGGCTCACTAGGCTAATCCTCCGCCTAGCGGCGCCGGCACACCGGGTTCTAGTCCCGGTTGGGGCGCCGGATTCTGTCCCGGTTGCCCCTCTTCCAGGCCAGCCCTCTGCTGTGGCCGGGGAGTGCAGTGGAGGATGGCCCAAGTGCTTGGGCCCTGCACCCCATGGGAGACCAGGAAAAGCACCTGGCTCCTGGCTCCTGCCATCGGATCAGCGCGGTGCGCCGGCCGCAGCGCGCCAGCCGCGGCGGCCATTGGAGGGTGAACCAACGGCAAAGGAAGACCTTTGTCTCTGTCTCTCTCTCTCACTGTCCACTCTGCCTGTCCAAAAAAAAAAAAAAAAAAAAAGAAAAGGTGAGATGGTGCCAGCGAGGACTGCTAGGGGTTCAACTTGAGGTGTCGGCTCTTCCCTGCCTTCTCCTAGCTCACGGAAGGGAGTGCTCAGGGTAACCCTTTCTCCTGCAAGGCCATTTGGCTGAGATCACATGAACAGCTTTTCAAAGCCATCTGGGTGACAGAATGGCAACCTGTCAGTCAACAGGGCAAAAGCTACACAACTCTAGAAAACCGCAAGACAGCCCCGGCCCTCACCGCTGCTTGGCGTCCTTGATCCTCTTCTTGACATCGGCTTCTCTGCGCAGGGTGATGGCTGTGTTCTGGACCTGTCGTAACATCACCTGGAGAAGCACACCAACATCGAGTGAGAGGAGGAGGCACCCTGGGCCACAGCAGGTTAACGTTATGCCATCACATCTAAAACTTCACAGCGTAACTCACATGGATGTACATGTGAGTTATCATTACTAGAGACAAACTCAAACGCTGTGTCACATGTCACATGACCAGGGCTTGTAATGCCAGAAAAGCTGGAGAACAGCAGCCACATGAGCCTGGGGCCTTACCCTGGAGTCCCGGGTGAGGTCTCCACCCAGGCGCACTTCTAATGTCCGAGCTTTGCTCTCTGCCTCCCGGGCCTTCTCTTCAGCTGAAATCCAAGAGAAACCATAAGGCATTCAAAGGCTCAGAACCCAATCACCCCTCCCGGATCCACAAAGAAGCTCCCCACTGGACATGAAATAGGCGCATCATCAAGGGAAATGAGCCATGGCTGGGGAGCGCATTGGGAGCAGCCTCCAGGCCAAGCCTGCAAAAGTCAGTGCACAAAGGGAAATCTGGCTTTCAAAAATATCACCGAGGCCCCAAGGAAAGCAGGCACTATTTATACCTGACACATGCTTTTCAAACTTTAAACTTTAAAAATGGACTCAACAGATCAAAACACACACAAAGCAGGCAGAGCTAACCCTCAGCATGAGCTGGGAACTAATGAAGCCTTCCCCTTCAAGGAGGTGAGAACTGAGAAGCGCTGGCTGATTTCTGCCCTGCACTCAGGAAAGCTAATCCACAAGTAGTTGAGCCAGAGGAGGGTGTGGGATTCTTCACCCTGGGCAAGCCAGAGTTGACAGTTTTAGATAAAGCCCTCTAAACGGCTGTCGTGAAAGCAGTCTGGAGACAAAGTGCTGAGGGGAATGGCATGTGGGCAAAGGGCTGGGACAGGAGGAGAGCCTTGTCCCTAGATCCCTGCTTTGGCCACAAAAGCGTACCCCAGACCACCCCCACCCGACGCTCTCCTCCTGCACAGGAGGTGGCCTTACCAATGCGAGCTACATGCTCTGCCTTCTTCACCTCCTGCTCTGCACGGGTCTTGAAACGGCTTGACGTGTACTTGTACATCCTGGACAGTGGAAAAAGGAACCTGAGGGCCCGAGCGGCAGCAGGGCAGGCGGCCAGCCCCAGCTCAGGAAGCTCCCTGTCTTCCTGCCTGCTCCCACACTGTGCTGTCCTGGCCTCTCGTGATGAGACAAATCCAAGTCTATCTTGGCAAAAAAGATTCAATTCCTTTGTCTTCTTGCCCCCGACTTCCTGCTCTGTCCTTGACAAACAATCTCGCTGTTCACCAGGGTGTCCTCAATCCCATGGCAGAAACAAACCTTAGGAAGAAGCCCGGGCCTTTTTGTGTAGTAGTCTAAGCGCCCCCTGCCCCCAAAGCTGAGACTCAGACAGCTTACTGTGCCATGCAGGACACCTGCCACGTACCAGAGGCACCCACAACCAGCGAGCTCAGCCAGCCAAATGCCAGAGCCTGTCGGCCACGTCTGCCCTCCTCCAGGACCGAGAAGTGCGGTGGCAAATCACGGCCAGCACTGTGGGAGCCTCGCTCTCACATCGCATCACTCCGGCTCAGTGGCGGGTAAGCCTTTACCTGGGCTTGTACAGGCAGCAGGAGAGCCTCTTGGTCTGCACCTTGTGTCCGTGAATGAAGATCCTCATCCGGGGATCGATGTAGAGCACAGCAGCATAGGCACGGAACGAGCGCCGCTCTGGCTTCCTAGAGACCACAGGACAGAGAGAGCAATGCCACCCACCCACAACAAGCAGTAAAGGTCCAAGAATGTCTGCGGGCCCTCCACTTTTCCATCGCCAACCTCGGCTCCTCCTGCAGCCCTCACAGGGTGTTCCTTCCACAAGGACACCACATGCTGCCCCCTCACATCCCGTCCAGGGGGCCCCCAGACACCTCACTAGGCTCTACCGCTGCCTGACTGTGGGGGCCTCGGCAATCCCGTCCCCCTCGAGGCCGCAGTTTCTTGTGGAGTCAGAGCAGAGGGCCACCAGTTTTTCTGCTTAGCTGAGGATCTGCTGTCTCATTCGTCCCTCCTGCCTCATGTCTAGGAGACTTGAGCTCTCAACTGCAGTAGTTCCATCACTCATCCCTCCAAGAGAAATGCAGGGACTGCGCCCTCCTCTCTCCTTGAAGGCACCTCCAGAAAGAATGAGCAGCAGCTGCAGGGCCCCGCCCTCCCAGGCACACTCACGTGCCCTCTGGAGAGGTCTCTGCCATCTGGATATCTCTTGGGTTGGAGATGATGTCCAGCTCTGGCTCTCCGTTATCCATGAGTTTGAGATTGAAGATGATCACCAGTGTTCCTGGGGAACAGAGGTCCTTTCATTCTGGCAGGTGCCCTGGGCATCTCCACCCACTCAGGGCTCTGCAGCTCCAGGATTCTGTGGGCTACAGCTCACAGCCTTCTTACCGCTGTCCCCAGGAATCTTCATGAACTGGGACATCACTTCCTCCTCAGTGCGGAAGGGAGAGTACTTGTAGATGAGTTCTGTCTCGATGGCAAACTTCTCCACGTTATCTGTGACAGGTTCCCGGGTCCGCGAGTTCCAGGTGGGCAATGGGACGATCACCTTCGGGGTGAGCACAGACAGGCAGTGAGGCAGGCCCTAGAACAGCCTTTCCCTAAACCGTGCAGCTATCCCGGCCCTGCGCACAGGGGCTCCACACTAGCCAAGGCCCAGACATAAGGCCCAAGCTCAACAGCCTAGCACCAGAGGCTCTCTGGCTTCTGCCCTGTCCGAAAACTCAGCCTCATGTCACTGCTTCCTCTTAGGGTCCTCTTATACCTGGGGCAGGGGGTGTCTCTGCACGGGTAGTTCCCTGTTTGGAATGTCCTTGGCCATTTTTAAAATACTTTGGTAAAAACTCTACTCTTACCACTACAGAAAATACACTAGTGAATGTGAAGATATACTAACATAACCTACATCTCTGCAACCCCGCCCCTAGGTATGTGGCCTAGGAGACATTTTCACAGGAGTCTTCGCCACGTTCATGGGAAATGTAAACTATGAAAAAAAAATGCATGATTTCCAAATTTTTTTCCAACCAAACTTTTTAAATTCCATTTTCCCACAAACTTCCTGAAGTGCCCTTCTATATACTAGTATAAAAACAACTCAAATATCCAACAGAGTGGTCAGACTCAACTACAGTGCATCCACAATGGAATACCATATAGTAATGAAAACAAACACACGTACAGCAACTAGCATCAACATGGATGACCTCATAAACATAGAGTAACTTACAAAATACCAACAAAATGAGCTCACGTATGTAAAATTCAAAAATAGGCACAACTGAAGTATGAATTAAGGATGCACACACAGGTGACAAACTACACTAAATAAGGGAATGGCCATCATAGAAGTCACCTGAAGGTGGTTCCTTCAGGGGCACAGTAAGGGAAAGATTACAAGGCGACTTCTAACACCGGTCTATAATGGGGGCTACATGGGGCATTTGCTTTATTATCTTCTTCACTGTACAAATACTTTAATATACTCTTCAACATATATGGGGCTTCATTTTACGTCCAAGTTAATGCATGTAAAAATCCTAGTCTTTCTTCAAAAACCCCACCTCAAACACTGCCTCTTCAGAGGCCCCACTGTTCTCCTTCCCATCCCCTGAGCAAGCGGCCACTGCAAAAGAGATTCCCTCTGCACAACAAAGGGGTTGGGGCACCCCAGAAGTTCAGCTCAGCCAGCCCACCCTTAGGGAAAAGGAACTGTGTCTTAACAACTGCCAGGGTGAGAGACTGTTAAGGAGATCGGAGGCTTTTGCTGGATCCTAAGAAGTTTCGTGCTGTTAAGTATTCAACCCCAAGGCTGGCTTGGACACATTCCTCCTTGGCCGAAAATGATCTGATTTTGAAATCTTGGCTGAGTTTGCACTAGAGTACAATCCAAAACAGTGACCTTCTAGCACCAAGTAAGGAAAAAAACCGCAACCTAGCCTTTTCCACCAGGGCAACTGAGTTCCATCTGCGCTCCGTGGACTCGTACCTCATGTGCCCATTCTTTACCACAGTGTCAGGTGACAACACCGTCACTTTGAACCGTGGGCATTCACTCCCACTGGTGTTATCCCTCCTCCGTTGCAACATCGCTGCTTCAGTTCCAACACCATCACTACACTTTTGGTTTTCTCTGCACCTTTCTGGACACCCCTTGGTGTCCTATGCCACTTTCTCCTCCCACTGACCTTTAGATGTCGGCCTGCCCTAAGCCTCGTCTCGCTCTGCACTCACTTGCCACCAAGAATCCTGGAGTCCAACTCCAGGCTCAGAATTCCCTTTGCATATCCAGAACAAACTCACGCATCCCCTCCACACCATCCCTCCTCCATTCTTCTCTAGCAGCTCACCACCTCCAACTGCCACCCCAGAACCTTCGAGTCAGCCCTTCCCCTCCCTTCTCCAACCCCTCCACTGATCAGTCGCAGGCCACATCCTGAAGAGGGGAGACTCCATCTCTTTCTCTCACTTCCCTACTCCAAGTTCTGCTGGGCCCTCTCGACTAGTCCACTCCAACACCCCCAATCTTTCCAATATAATCACCACACAAATAACCACATGGACCTTTTTAAAAAGAGAATTTGATCCTGGCACACCCTTGCTTAATAAAGTCCCATTCACTCAACAAGCCCCGAGGTCAAGCCTAGCCTGGCCTTCCCTGCGCTCCAGAAGCCAACATGTTTCTTCAGGGGACCCCGCTGTAGGTGCCCTCCCCAGCCCTCAGGGCCTTGAGTAAGCTGCTTCTGCCGACTTGAACACCCTCCCCTGACCACACGCAGTCCTTTATTAAGAAACATACCCCAAAACCCCAGCCCAGGCCACCCTCTCCTGTCTCTTCTGTCCTATCTTCTCTGCAGATACAGCCCTCTCACCCTCCAAGTGTGCTGAAGGAACCAAGCTACCACATCAAAAAGGCAAACAAATCCCCTGGCTTGCTAAGTAAAGACGGCAGGAAAAGACAGCCCGCCATTCTCAGCATGAACCAGTCTGCTATGATGCAGGCTTGGATCCAAACAGGGCCAGTTCAAATTTGGGCACAGCCAACTGAGATGAATTTTTCTCCAACTCTGAATTCAACTATCTGCTTATGTGACAGCAATGGATTTCTTTCTACAGATCTTCTCAGGCCCCTCTCAAACTCTAGCCTCCATTTCTCACACATGAAAAGAAGATAAAAAGAGATAAGAGTCCAGTCTGAGGAGGCTGGCCAGACCGCAGAATACCCCTAATCCCCACAACGAAGGGGCCAGGGCTCACCAGAAATGCTATTCAGATATCTGAGCCACCAGGCCAAAGAAATCAGCTGAGCATGTGTTTAAGCTTTCACAGTTAATTACCAAAATGGTTCACAGTAAGAGTGCGGATTCACCAAGCCTGCCTTCCAGCACAGCAGTAATCGCTGGGACTGCACAGCGGCCACTCCTGAAGTGAGACCAACGACCAGGCGCCAGGTAGGAACAAGCTCACATTCAGGCTTCCCTGCCTCCAGACCTGGCTGGGCCCTGGGGGTGTCTGATCTGTGGCTTCTGATCCGGGCAGTTGCGGCAACACATTTCCTCAAAAATAACATGTGCTCACAGCACATTCCACAAAGTCACCACCAGGGGCAAAGATGTCGCTGTTCCTATAATTACTGCCAGCTATATTCACCATGCATAGTCAGGGAAGCCCAAAAAAACAAGTCTCTATGGTAACACCCCCACAGATGGAGTTTAGATCTAGAGGAGCTGCAAATCCAACTCTTGGTTCCTGCCACTTGACAGCCTCATTTTCAGAAACAAGACAGCTGCTCTCTGAAGTACTTTAAGATTTTGCTTCCTCTCACATTAACGTATCTGCCTTAACCTCTCAACCAATCCATCCAACCAGCTAATCCCAGGACACGGGGCACATGCTCCAATCCTACAACTGTGAAAGAGCCCAGCACTGCAAACAACCCATGAAAACCGTCTGGGCAGAGTCAACAAGTATGACCACAAGGACGGGACCCACTTCATCAATGCCTTCCTCTTCGTGGAAGGTACGAGACAGAAAGAGGCAGGTCATGGTGTCTTCCTTCTTGGTGAAAAGGATAAAATCCTTCCCAATGCGCATTGAGCCCCTGAAAGGGAAACAGAAATAGATTACTCTCCCAGGGATTCAAAAACTCATGTGAAAAAGGAGTAACCCCACCCCGTGCCTCTGGAGGGTTCTCCTAAAGGCCTCCCTAGGCCCCAGGCCCTGAGCTGAGCTCCACAGCTTTCGTCCTCCACCTAACACTCCTCGCTCTGCTTTCCCACTAGTCTTCTCTTAGTCTTAGTCTTCACCTATGATCTTTTCAATCATACTCACTCAACATCCAGGACCCTCACCACCCTCTGAGCACATTCACCACCAACCAGAGAACCAAGTTAGTCTCACTCCCAGCTTTCTGTTGCCTCAAAGCTCACTAATTCCACTGCTGCCCTTGGGCTCCAGGTCCATTCCAGCCCACAAGGGCTGATGAGCCCTAACTGTGCCATCAAATGGAAGCCCCATCAAGGTGAGAGACCAGGGCCTTTGCTCCCAAAGCCCTCGACTCAAAGAAAGTTAAAAAAAAAAAAAAAAACACTGCATGAGTCCAGGGCTCAGCCAGACACGCAGGTGCTATCAAATTATAATTCTTGACCATGGTGTTCACAGAGGCTTGTAACTGGCTCCTGTCCTGTAAGTCTTCTGGTTCAAAACTGTTTTGCCTCTTCAAGCTCATTGTGACACTGGCAGGCCTCTACTTTTGGATGCAACTGGTTTCTGGGAACTGTGCCTGGAAGCTAATTTCCACAGGCCAAGAGTCTAAACGGAGTCCACTGCTTCCTTCCTCTGTTTTGTGATGTTAAACCATGCAAGGAGCAGGCTGGGACAGGCCTTTTCAGACAGCAAGGAGCAGGGCAGCAGCCCACAGCACCAAAGAAAGCTGTTCACTGAACAATGAGCTGTTCAGCGCCTTTCTCCTGAATAGCTTCTGGGGTTTATGGCTATTATCTCATTAGTCCTCATAACACCCCAGGGAGATGATGGAGGCGGGAAGCCTCATTACTCCCCTCTGTGTACAAATACAAACCAGACTGGCAGGCCGAGCACACAACTGAATGCCCTGCCCTACTTCGCCACTCAAGAAAACCCCCAAGACACCATCCAGAGATGTTCCTGGCGCTCTCAGCCCCGGTTTCTCTTTCTCCAGGACCACAGGTGCTGGCACGGCTCCTGCCCCTTGAATTTCACAGTCTTCCCTCTTCCTCAAGCTTGCATTGCAAAATGACGGCCATGATCTTGCCTTCTGTCCAAGCCTGCCCTTGCCCTAATTTGGCAAAAATTTCTATGCACCTATTGTCCCCTCTGTCTCTGATCCTGACCGTAGGCCCTGAATAGTAAGAAACTCAAAGCACCACCTCTCTGCTGGCTTCCTTGCTTCTCAGTCCTGTTCTCACCACAAATCACCTCCTCCAGAAACTCTTCAACTTGTGAACTGGCTTCAGAATGGGCACACTGTGTACTCTCAACACTAGATGGCTCCATTTCAATGGGAGCTGCACAAAAACTTTCTCCTAAAATACACTTAAAGAGAACGTTCAACTTCTGTAGCTTCCCTCGCTGGTCTTCTAATCACTTTTTTTTTTTTTTTTTTTTTTGACAGGCAGAGTGGACAGTGAGAGAGACAGAGAGAAAGGTCTTCCTTTGCCGTTGGTTCACCCTCCAATGGCCGCCACGGCTGGCGTGCTGCGGCTGGCGCACCGCACTGATCCAATGGCAGCAGCCAGGTGCTTCTCCTGGTCTCCCCTAGGGTGCAGGGCCCAAGGACCTGGGCCATCCTCCACTGCACTCCCTGGCCACAGCAGAGGGCTGGCCTGGAAGAGGGGCAACCGGGACAGAATCCGGCGCCCCAACCGGGACTAGAACCCGGTGTGCCGGCGCCGCAAGGTGGAAGATTAGCCTATTGAGCCGAGGCGCCGGCTCTTCTAATCACTTTCAGAGTCACATTTCTTCTGCTCCTGAACCTCACTCATTAAGGGAGAATGTCAGAGATAAGAGCTCCGTTTTCCAGATTAGGAAACACACATTCAGAGGGGATGAAACAGCTTGCCTGCAGCCACAGGACAGGACCAGGCGGGAGGAGAATGATCCAAGATCCTGATAAGCCAAGGTTACCACCACTCAAGGAGACCTCAGTTACTGGTCTTAGATCACCCGCAGCAGAATGACTTGGAGAAAGATCTCAGGTGATTCACTTTACCTATGAAAAACACGGATTCCAGGGCCCTTCCGGGGCCAACTGAATCAAGCCAGAAATCGCCACAGAAATATCAAAACAGGAAAAATAAAATTAGAAGCCAGAAACCAAGCTAGGGACTCTCAGAGCAATGATAGCATTTAATCCTTAACCTACTTGATGTACATGATAACCTTAACTTACAAAGGAGGAAACCTAAGGCCTACAGAAGGAAGTCCACGAATGAGGTGAGATTTGAACTTTAGCTTGTCCGAGAAGAAATGGACAGTGACTCCAGTTCTGCAGACAGAAAGACCTGGTTTAAATACCAGTTCTACCTTGGGGCAAATCACTCCAACCCTAAAAGCTTCCATCTCTTCATCAGAAAATGAGAATAGTGGTACCTACTCCTCACAGGGCCATAGCGAGGCTCCAGTGAAACCATCCTCATGAGGTTTTTATCAGTTTCTAGCACATGGTAAGCATTTATTAGTACCACTTGGTTCCTGTCCTGAGAGAGAAACTGCAAAGCCCAGGTACCAGGTCCCTGACTTCTCCACACTCACAGCACACTGCACGTGAGGCCCAACTAACGCGGCTGACAGATCAAACCCTCACCCTCTCTCAAACAACACAACACGTCTTCAAGGCGAGACCAGAAACATGACTCATAATTCCATTTGCACAAACTCCAATTCCACTAAATCTTATTCCACCCAAAGGTATGTACAGCTGGAAGTGAGCACTTCAGAAATAGAAACCTTTCTCCTGGGGCTTCACTCAAAACCAGAATAACACATTCCAAACACTAAACAAGTGGGAACCAAGGGCTGAGAAAGAAGCCCTAAGGGACTTGGAGACATTAGGTGGGTCCCTACTTTGCAGGACATGTGCATGGCGACAGTGCCCTAGGGAGAGATAGCCTGTGCCTCTCCTACCACTCTGGATCCCCAGTCCTGGCTACAGGTGCTCAGCTAACACTGCTGTCCTGCGAGCTGACCCCCACCCCCACTATCTCAGACACATTCCCATCCCAGGAGAGAACCACTGCTGTCCTCAACCACAGGGTCAAAGTAAGAATTCTGACGGGAGGAGAGGCACGGTTCTGGAGCCACAGCCAACAGCAACCTCGGCCTCTCCCGTCCCCACTTGTTTTGGATGTTCCTATTTTTCAATGTGTGCAGCCAACCCAGCTGGACAACAGCTGCTAAGCTACCCTCAGACCACTGCTGTTCCAGAGTTAGAGCCAGGGAGAGCAGGACAGCATCACGACACCCTGTTTTGAGCCCTGTAACAGGCTTCTAGTATACCTACGATTTTAGCCCATTCCCATACTGCCCGATCTGGGTGGACTCCGGCGTGCGTTTGGCCGACTTCCCAAACTGGATCACACTGGCAGCATCACCTAAAGTGACAGACACAAAACAGAATGAAAAGTCTGCGTTTCTTTCCCAGGCTACTCAAAGAGGCCTGAGCCTTGTTCCATCCAAGCAGGGTTCCGCTAAAAACCTTGCTCCGAGGAAATTCAAAGCCATGAGGCAAACAGAGGCAATCCTTCTTGGCCATCACTGTGGCCTGTTACCAGATTACGGTGAAAAGGCTGGACAAAGTCTCTGCAGTGCCAGCCCCAGGATGCAGTGCAAGCTGGTAAACAGAGTGTCAGTGTAAGCAATCTACTGACTTCAGGCTGCCTTTCAGATCTATCTCCCATGTCAGGACAAGACCAGGCAACTGTGCTTCCATTAGTGGAACTAAGCCCAGGATGTCGCAACAGTCTTCGCACTCCCCAGGTGGATCTTCCAGTCATAACAGTCGGGCATCAGCCACGCAAGTTTACATAAGCAGTTTGTAAAAAAGTGGTCCATGCCCCTCAACAAAGACATCACTACGGTCTAATCACTTACTTGGATCCATTCCTGCTCCATCATCCAAAAAGCAAAGCATAAATCCTCCTCGAAGATCCTCTCGCCTTTCTGTAAGAGAAGTAGCTGCCATTACTGGGCTGTCACCCACTAGAAGGTGGCAAGGTGGGCATGATGGGAAGCTGGATCAGTGTGAAGCTGAGTTCAAAAGTCAGGTCAACCCTAGCTGCTGCTTCCACCAGCCCCAGACAGTATGAGTTAGGCTTCCGGGCCCTTGAGGGACTGAATTCCCATCAAAGGTTCTCCAATGCTTCCAGTGCTTTCTAGGTCACCATAACGCTTGAGAGAATCTATTAGGAGGGCGGGGCTGCCTGGGCCAGCATCTGTAACACCACTGAATACGCGCGTGTGCCAAACGTACCTCAGCCAGCCTTCTCCTTTCTGCCTGCATTACTGTCACTTCTGCCCTGTGCCACAGCTCTCAAGCCACTGAAGTACCACGGTGTGCCTTATCAACACTGCTCAAACCAACAGGGTCTCTCCTTGGTGAATTCAGTCTCAGGTAGCCTTCAGAGATGGTGATCAAACCAGACACGGCAGGGGCACAATGGTGACAGTTGCTATCTGAAGACCAATTGTGTCTGCACGTGCCCATCCCCGGCTAACTGCAGTTTCTGGGCTATCTGTATTCATTATCGCATCCCCTGCGGAGCTAGAGGTCATCAAAGGGGCTCTCCCCAAGTATAATGGCACAGGTGATGTGAAAGGTGCCTGGTTCCTAGCTAACCTGCCTAACTGGAAGAAGGAACAGTCCTTTGTCAAGAAGATCTACAGTGGCCATGGCGGGGTTTTCCAGCCAACAGGAAGGGAGTGTAACAGACTCTGGTTGCTGTGCCAGTAACTAGAAGAACCTCCTCTCTCAGCAGCCGTCATTTGCAGCAGTAAGTGGTAACTCAAAGTGCTCTGGGTCCAAACAAGTCATAAAGAACAGATTTCCAAACGGGCAAAGGAGCTGTACAAGTTTCCAAAGTGACTTTATGTTTTGTTTCAAAGAGCAGGGGCCAGGGCGCTGGGGGAGAGATTAAACACCTGCAACAGCCAGGGCTGGGCCAGGCGGAAGCCAGGAGTCCAGAACTCAATCTGGCTCTCCCACATGTGTGGGAGGGACTCAACCACTTGAGCCATGACTTGCTGCCTTCCAGGGTGTACATGAACAGGAAGCTGGAATCGGAAGCAGAGCCAGGACCCAAACCCAGGACCCAGGCAGGCAAACATGAGATGCGGACATCCCAAGCAGCACCTTAACCAGTGTGCCAAATGCCCATCCTCAAAGTCTTTTTGACACAATGATGAGGACTGGGTAAGAAAAGGAGAAACCAGTCTAGGCGTCACAGGAAGTGCAGACACACGATAGAGGAGGTGAGGCAGCAGGAGAGGCAGGGGATCTATGCAAGCCACCCACGCTAAGCTCCCCAGTGTAGATGCTATTCATAGTCCTCTGCTTATCACGAGGGAAAACGCAGTACTTCTACTAGAAGGAAGTCAGCCTGTGGAAGTTATATAGGACAAGTCCAAGCCTGCTTTGGAGCCTGACCCCTACCAGATGTTTTATAATGTCCTCCATGCTGCAGTTCACTAACTCTGTACAACTATCTAAGCTGACAAATCAGTTTCAAATGCTCTTTGTCCTTCCCTCAGGCCAAAAATTCAAGTGAGTCGTGACTGCTTTCTGTTAAAAAGAACAGTTAATGTAATTTAAAACCTATTTCAGAAGGGCTATAAACCACAGAGATCTTTTAAGTATCACTCAGTATTCAGGAAGCTGAATATTCATTACAAGTGCCTCTTGAAAGTTCAAGGATGAAGATCTTCCTGGATCTCTACTATTGGTAGATAGTACTATCGGTAGACCTAAAAAATAAAAAACTCCTTCCCATGGCAGTACCTTATCAGAGCCTGGGGAATCCAAGTGAGATGTGGCAAGCAAGAACATCTACAAGAAATGTGCAAAAAGGCTTCCCAACTTAAATGAAGTGTCTTATGGAGATTGAAACCAGGTCAGTTACGAAGGAGGGCAAAAGCAACTTTCTGTATCCAGCCAAGAGCCATTTGCTATACGCTGTGGCCATAAAATGTGCATGAAGACCCTTCTTTAGGATCTAGATATTGGTTCAAGCCAAAAGCATCAGTGAAGTTCCAAGGATTAATGGCATCCTTTGAACACCACTTCAGTAACTCGGATCAGAACAGGATTCCTAAGCAGTTTTTTTTTTTTTTTCTCCCAAGCAGTTTTAACATTCAACTTTCACATAACAATGGACCTAGGATCCCTCTTGCCTTAAGGAATTCATTCCAAAGCTTTTTCATGTAACATACAAGAGTAAGAGACACATCTGCTGATTACACAGTGGCTAACAGCCTGCAAACAGCCAGCAGTACCCAGGCGCACAGTTATAGGCAGCACTGCTTTGAGGCAATAATGCAGCATGTCTCAGTAAACAGGCAGAGCGCCACCTTCACTTGACTGTAATGCCTATGCAGCTCACTGTCTGATGACTACTTACTGGGCACTTCCTGCGAGCCCGGCTCTGTGACAGCCAAGAGCAGGGAGAAGGGCGCAATGCTGAGCACTGTCTTCACAGAGCTTACAGTCAAAACGGACTCTCTTTCAGCTACTCTCTGAAGCAGATGAGTAGACGTAAAAGGAGTGAGCTGAAAAACTAACTAGAGAAGATGCAGTGCCCGCAAGAATCACCTGAGGAGGGTTAAGTGTTTGACACAATGGGCTAACTCACTCCTTGGCAACACCACATTCCGTAACAGAGCAGCTGCTTCGCATTCTGGCTCCTGCACTTCTGATCCAGCTTCCTGCTAATGCACACCCAGGGAGGCAGCAGTGATGGCTCAAGTATTTGGGTTCCTGCCACCCATGTGGGAGACCTGGATTGTGTTCCAAGCTCCTGGCTTCAGCCTGGCCCAGCTTTGGCTGTTGTAGGTATCTGGGAAAGTAAATCAGTGGATGGGAAATGTGTGTGTGTGTGCATGTGGGTGTGTGGGTGTGTGTGTGTCTTTGTCTTTCAAATCAAATGAAAAACTAGTAAGTAAAAGAATTTTTTAATTACCAAAGAAACTATGCAAATAAATTCTGGGGGGCCGGCGCCTTGGCTCACTAGGCTAATCCTCCGCCTGTGACGCCAGCACCCCGGGTTCTAGTCCTGGTTAGGGCACCAGATTCTGTCCCGGTTGCTCCTCTTCCAGGCCAGCTCTCTGCTGTGGCCTGGGAGGGCAGTGGAGGATGGCCCAAGTGCCTGGGCCCTGCACCCGCATGGGAGACCAGGAGGAAGCGCCTGGCTCCTAGCTTCAGATCAGCGCAGCACGCCAGCCATAGCGGCCATTTGGGGGGTGAACCAATGGAAAAGAAAGACCTTTCTCTCTGTCTCTCTCACTGTTTAACTCTGCCTGTCAAAAAAAAAAAAAAAAAAAAAAAAGATTCTGGGCTCCACACTGGATAGTCTAACTGCATGGGTAGAGGTGGGGCCTGAGAATTTGCTCTGTTAACTACCCTTTGATAAGTGCTGAACTACAGTAAGCCTGGAGAACTAAAACAGTCTTTCCTAATCATCAAATACATCTCCTTAGACAGTCAACCACGGAGCTCCCTCCTAACATGTGACAGTATCACTCCAAAGGAAAGAAATGGGATGGAGAGGGAGATCTGGGTGGAGAAGAGTCTACACGGCTGGAGGGTGGCGTGCTTCTCCTCCCATCATACATCCTGGAAGCAAGACAGGGAAAGCTAAACTGCCTTCTTCGCAGCTGTGTTTCAGTTCCTGCTGGCAGCTCTGGAAGACTGCCAGAACCAGTTTTGAAGTCAGCCACACCTGCGCCTCCTCCAACATGGCCATGTCTGGCTTCTCCAAGCCTGACATCCCCCCATTCAACTACCACTGAGTTGGAGAAACAAGTAGAGAGATGTAAAACATAGCTGTTAAATCAAGTATCAAAGGTTGCTACAAAGTGGCAGCCTGGTTCTTCCTCATACTCCGCAGCCCCAGCTCATTTCCTATTTATTAACCATCACTCTAGCATCACAAAAGGGATCCTTCTGACCAGAGTGGCCCTACCTGTCCCAGAGAGTTAAGGAAAACAAAACCTACAGTTTCCTGATGAGCACAATAAGGTCTGCTTCCAACCAACAAGAACGCTTTAGGCAAATGCACACCTCACCACTTGGAGAGGCTGGCTCCTCTCCTGTCCTCTTAGGTTTAAATAGTCCTTAAAATGTAACTTTGTAGTGACTTCAAACTACTTCTGTTTAAAACCTTTGGGGAGGGGCCAGCACTGTGGAGCAGTGAGTTCAAGCCCTGGCCTGAAGCATTAGCATCCCATATGCACGCTGGTTCTAGTCCCGGCTGCTCCTCTTCCAATCCAGCTCTCCGCTATGGCCTAGGATTGCAGTAGAGGATGGCCCAAGTCCTTGGGTCCCTGCACCCACGTGGGAGACCTGGAAGAAGCTCCTGGCTCCGGGCTTCGGATCAGTGCAGCTCTGGCCGCGGCCATCTGGGGAGTGAACCAGCAGATGGGAGACCTCTGTCTCTACCTCTCTAACTCTTTCAAATAAATAAAATAATCTTTAAAAAATGGGGAGATTTCCAAGTTTAATATCAATCTAGTTTCTGAATAGGAAATAATACTTTCCTTCAGATACTAACAAACCTTTACAGTATTAGATGACTACTAATGGTGCCAGCATGTGTTTCAGCAGTTAAGATGCCACTTGGAGTGCCTGTGTCCCGTATAGAGTGCCTGGGTTGAATTCCTAGCTCTGTTCTCAGTTCCAGATTCCTACGAATGCACACCCTGGGAGGCAGCAGGTGATAGCTCAAGTGCTTGGGTCCCTGCCACCCATATAGGAGACCTGGATTGAGTTCCAAGCTCTTGGCTTTGGTCTGACCCAGGCCCAGCTGTTGTGAACATTTATAGAGTGAACCAGCAGATGAGAAATCTTTCTCTCCGTCTCTGTCTCCATCTCCATGTCCCACCCCCAGCCTTTAAAATAAATAAATGTTAAAAGATTACTGCTTCCACTGCTTTTATTCCTCCTGTTCAATATGTTAACAAAGCACCAGGGCAGAAATGTGAGAAGCCAAGGGAGCTTCAGTCAAGACTCCTCATCAAATCAAGCCCTTCTCAAAATGCTTAGTGCTTTATCACACCACCTCATAACATAGGGTTCGGGTTAGGACTGACTGTTTCCTCAAGATCTAGTTATTGGTCTCTAATGATCAACACTGTATTAAAGACGGTAGGAGTGAACCAAGATGATCTTTGTTAAACACTTTTTTTTTTTTTTAAAGATTTATTTGTTTATTTGAAAGTCAGAGGTACACAGAGAGAGGAGAGGCAGAGAGAGAGGTCTTCCATCCGATGATTCACTCCCCAATTGGCCACAATGGCTGGAGCTATGCCAATCTGAAGCCAGGAGGCAGGAGCTTCTTCTGGGTCTCCCATGCGGGTACAGGGGCCCAAGCACTTGGGCCATCTTCTACTGCTTTCCCAGGCCACAGCAGAGAGCTGGATCAAAAGTAGAGCAGCCAGGTCTCGAACTGGCACCTATATGGGATGCCGGCGCTCCAGGCCAGGGCATTAACCCACTGCACCACAGCACCAGCCTCTGTTAAACACTTCTTCTAAATAGATATGTCTATCGCGGTTTGTCCCCTTTGCAGTAAAAGCTCATTCTCTGCTTTGTCATCAGTGTCATGATTAAAATATCCACTATTGCTTTGAGAGGTACCTTGCCTCATGAAAGCCCAAACACAAAATACAAACTGTAGCTTGGAAAGGCACTTCCACCTGGTTAGAAAATTTAGGAACCATCTTCTAACAACCTTCTAATGTGCCTTTTTCCTGTCAGTCTCTTTTAAATATAAAAGCAGCCTATATTCAACAGTCTTGCCATTTTTTGAACAAACTGCTTTCAGAATTAAAGAACAGCAGATTTTCAGCTGTTCTGAAAAATTTTCTCTGCTCCAACGTCCATCAAGCGTAAGAACTTTGGGGATATGTCATAATTATGACATTAAAGGTTCTGAGAATTATGGCTTAGTTGTATATTCTCATTTAGCAAACAACTTCATGAAGAGGGATTATTTTATAATTATATGAGACTTCAGAAAATTTGTGAAAAACAAACTAAAATGTAAGCTGACGGGGCAGGCATTTGGCAGTTAAACAACATCCGCATCTCCCACACTGATGTGCCTGGGTTCAAGTTCCAGCCGCGCTCCCGATGCCAGCTTCCTGCTAATGCACATCCTGGAAGGCAGCAGGCGATGGTGCAAGTAGCTGGGTCCCTACCATCCGCACAGGAGACCGGACTGAGTTCCTGGCTCCCAGTGTCAACCCGGTCTAGCCCCAGCTGGTCACTGCAGGCATCTGGGAAGTGAACCAGTGGATGGGGGCTCTATCTTTTTGCCTCTTAAATAAACAAATGAATAAAAAATTTCAAGAAAGGGGCCAGTGGTGTGGCATAGCAGGTAAAGCTGCCATCTGCAGTGCTAGCATCCCATATGGGCGCTAGTTCCAGTCATGGCTGTTCTACTTCCGATCCAGCTCCCTGCTCATGCATCTGGGAAAGCAGCAGAAGATGGCTCAAGTTCTTGGGCCTCTGAACCCACACGGGAGACCCAGAAGAAGCTCCTGGCTCCTGGCTTTGGCCTGGCCCAGCTCCAGCCATTGTGGTCATTTGGGGAGTGAACCAGTGGATAGAAGACCTCTCTCTCCCTCTCTGCTCCTCCCTCCCCCCAATAACTCTGCCTTTCAAACAGATAAATAAATTTTTAAGAAAGATTTCTAAAGATGAGTTTATGGGACTGGCATTGTGGTACAAATGGTTAAATGACCACAATGCTGGCACCCAATATGGGCAACGGTTCAAGTCCTGGTTCCTCCGCTTCCAATCCAACTCCCTGCTAATGCATCTGGGAAGGCAGTCGATGATGGCCCAAGAACCTGGGCCCCTATGGGAGACCCGAATAGAGTTCCGGGCTCCTGGCTTTGGGCTGGCCCTGCCCCGACTGTTGTAGCCGACTGGGGAGTGAACCAGTGGATGGAGGATATCTCTCTCTCTCTCCCTGCCGGCCCCCTTTCTCTGTAACTCTACCTTTTAAAAAAAAATCTAAAAAAGAGAGAGACAAGTTTATTTTGGTGCAAAAAAATTGTGAAAACCATGAAGTTTTTTCAGAACACATCTTCCAAGGACTTTCTGAGGAGCCCTCAGGTATTGTCACATACAGACATCTCTGAAGCTAGTCAATATTATTCAAAATATGACCTCAAACCTTTCAGAAGGCTTCAGATAAGGTATGATTGAAGAACATATCACATTAGAAAAAACTAAATTTAAAAACTGTCTGCCTTTATTCTGCTTCCAAATTTTTAGTATTCAAATGACCAGGAAAGGTGTTGGCTCAAATGAACCAGGCAGAAAGAAAGTTTTTTAAAAAGTAGTAAAAAAAAAAAATAGTAGTAAAAGACCAATAAAATTAACTACAAATTCTCCCACTATTACAGTCACTCCAGCAAAAATAGGATATTACTAACAAACAATTATCAAATAAGCAAACCCATAAAAGCTATTCATCTTAGGAACAATAATAAATGCAATAAGAGGAACTGGATATTAGGAAAGAAATCTAAAGTCTGCCTTACCTGCATAAATATCTATTCTGGTGGCATCAGCATCTCTGTTAAAATTCAAAGAAAAAAAAATCAAGATCTAAATGAGAATGACATATCAACCACCAAAATGCCTAGTATTTAAGTGAATACCTAGTATTTTCAGTTTGCTTTCAGGAAATGATACAAAATCCTGTAAGGTTTAGTTTTAGACAATTTTCCTTATATATCCGTGAACTACTTCTGAAGTATTTAAGATGATTATATGATACATTTTTAACACTGATTTCATGGTGAAAACATCAGTGATCAGTAAAGAGCATTTCCCTTTACACACTAAGAAATGATTCAAATATTTCTTTCCTTTATTTGACTATAATCATAAAAGAGCTGTTGTAATAACTTGTACACTGTTTTCATCTTACCAAGATTTTAAGGAAAAAAACAAAACTTGTGATGAATCAAGTCTCACAGGCACTGCAGTTGGCAGACTGATTCCTGGATCCATAACCTTATCCTCTCAAACCATTAAAAGAAGTTGAGGCATCTCATTAAATCCAGCCAGACTGTAATGTACATATTTAGTCATCAGAAGGGTTAGACATAGTGTAGTACAATTTTTCCAACTGCAGTCAAGGAAAATGAGGCAGTTTCACTGGTTTAAATGCAAAAAATCCCAAGCTGGTACTGCAGCGTAGAGGCCTAAGCCTCTGACTAAGGTGCTGGCATCCCATATGGGTACCAATTTGAGTCCCAGCTGCTCCTCTTCTGATCCAGCTCTCTGCTATGGCCTGGGAAAACAGTGGAGAATGGCCCAAGTGCTTGGGCTCCTGCACTACCATAGGAGACCCAGAGAAAGCTCCTAGGTGGTGGCTTCGGATTGGCTCAGCTCTGGCCATTTGTGGCCCTTTGGAGAGTGACCCATTGGATGGAAGACTTCTCTCTCTGTCTCTCCCGCTCTGTCTGTAACTCTATCTCTCAAATAAATAAATGACTCTTAAAAAAAAAAAAAAGTGAAGATTCTTTCCAAGCACAGTTACTAACAATGGGAGATGCTTTAATCAACTGGAGTCTCTAACAATAAAACATACATTTTGGAAAGATACTGATCTCTGGCACAGTTTTAAAGACATTAGATGATGTACTGTCCTGACAGCACAAATTAAAATCATAGTTTGTCCCATTAACTTGTTCCTAAGTTTCTATCTTAATCCTCTGCCTTTCACAATTATTTTGCTCTAATATACAAGGGAAGGTAGTCTTAAAGGTAAACTTGCTATCTTTGGGCTAGACAAAGAATAAAAACTGACTCTAAATAAATCAAATAATGAACTAATGTGCTAATAAAAATATTTTTTCTATAACAGGCCTCTTCAGAGTTACAGCTGCTGCACAAGTCTTTCAAGTCTTCAGCGCAAAGGTCACGTGACCTAAAGGTTTTGACTCCAAGTACGTAGGGTGACTAAGTACCTCAGGCCGGCACTGGGGCACAGCAGAGTCATGCCTTGCATCCTCTCCTGCAGTGCTGCCTTCCTGGCTGCCTCTGACTCCAATCCAACTTCTGCTAACGTGCACCTTTGGAGGAGCAGATGAGGGCACGTGCTGCCATCCATGTGAGAAACTAGCAGGGAGTTCTGAGCTGCTGGCATTTAGGGAGTGAACCAGCAGATGAAAGCATTCTCTCGCTCACTCACTCTGCCTCTGCCTTTCAAATAAATAAATCTTTTAAAAAAAATCTCTTCACAAAAAAACAAAACAAAAAAAAGACTACATACCTTGCATTGTCAACAAGTTCAGCAAGAGCACCAAACAAGAATTCATGAGTAGTTCTGAAACAAAGATTAAGAGTTAAAGAATTTTTAATTAAAACTATTACTCCTAGTAAAAAAAATCAAGGTTATAAAATACTTAAAAAAAGTTTTTAGATCCCAAAACAAAGAAATGTCTGATTATAAACATGCCAAATACCCTGATCAATACACATAACATACATGAATTGAAATGCCATACTGAATCCCACAAATATGTGTAACTATGTGTCCATTTTATTGTTAACTTATATGTGTTTTTAAAAATATACTTTAAGAATATTTTAGGAAAAAAATCTAAAATCATCGATTTACTACTGAAATTTAAACTTCTCCACAACTCAAGAGTTTCCGGAGCTAATTTTCCCCAAGTGTGAATCAGTCAAGTCCTGCTACTACTCAGAAAAGTTTATTACTTCACTTAGTCGAGAAATCCACCCTAAAACATTAAAATTCCTATGCACGCACTGCTCCAAGCTGTATTTTTCACTTTTAAATTCTGCCTAGAAAAATGCCTGTTTTATTTTCCATTGCCTAACCAGCTGTCAGTTTCCACACATTTCAAAGGAAGAATGTAACTTCAACTTATGCATCAGTATGTTGAGTTCTAAATAACATGCTAATTGTGCATTTAGCCAACCCGAACTTTGAGCAGCCTCCCAGAGGAGAAAAACCCCTGGCTCCTCCACACACAGGGGTTAACTTTAACAAAGGTTCTAGGAGATCACATCAAGCGCTTGTCCTCCTAGAAAGAACTGTTTAACAGGGCCTGGGAATCCTCTCTTTAATTTGGAGAAAGTTCTATTTTTAGCCAAATCTGAAAGAAGTCAGGAAATGGGTTGTCTTTTCTCTTCTTTCAGCAGAACACCAGTTCATGTCCCAGCTGCCCCACTTCCCATCCAGCTCCCTCCTAAACTTCCTGGGAAAGCAGCAGCAGATGGCCTGAGCACTTGGGCCCTGCCCCAGACGTTCCTGGCCTGACTTCAGCCTGGCTCAGCCCTGGCCACTGTAGCCATTTGGGGAGTGAACCAGCAAATGGAATATCCCTTTCTCTCTTTCCCTAACTCTACCATTCAAATAAATACATACATAAATCTTAAAAAAAAAAAAAAAAAAAAAAAAAAACTACACAGAAGCATATGATTTTCCTTTTTTCCCTCACAGATCATTTACAGGTATTGATAAAGTGAAATCCTAACAACTTATCCTTGGAGCATATTTAACATATTTTCTTTAATTTGCGCTGTTTCCTGTAATAGTGCTTATTACATTTAAAAGTAATGTATATCCACCACTAACATTTAGAAAACCAGCTTGACTACTGATTGGAGAAAATGCAAAATCAACACAATATACTATCATCAATTTTTAATACTCACATTATTCCTGCTGACATTTTACATGCAAAGTTTTAGCTAATAATCAAAAAGTGAAAGCTTCTAAAAACTCATAAGTAAATAACCTGTCTCTACGCTCTCTGATCACTTAACACAGTGTTTTAAATAAGCTATAAGACAGCTGTTTATAAAATAAAAATACCCGTAAGTGAACCGTCCAGGAACACCAGTTTTTCCTCTTCAAGTATCCCAAACTTTAACAAATGCAAATTTTGAATTAAATAAAACTACCAGTTCTTGTAATGTGAGAAAGAACATTTCCCCCATGAGATCAGTGAATATATTTGTTGCTAATCCAAAGGCAGGAACAATATTGTTCTAACAAAAAAAATAGAAATTTGATCACCAATCCACCTACAAAATAAACTTTAAAATCTTTCTAAAATCCAATTCTTAATTACCTTAATTTTTTTACATTACTTACCAAATTTCTAAGAGAACCTGCATAAAACAGCCATGCCTTTAATTAAAAATATTTAAATCTCTACAATCATCACTTTGCCAAGTTCTTCAAATTATGAATTAAGCACACCAAAGCATTCTACAACTCACTAAAGAAATAGGGATAAATAAACTAGAAAATTAAGTTAACTTACAGAAGGAAAAGTAAGTTAAAAGTGAATTAACATTTATTCTAAAGCTTCCAGGCATTTTGTGACTTATACTTGTAGTGATTATTTTTCTACATATTTTAACTTTGAGGGTTCTTAGAAATACTATTGCCAATTTTATTGTAATATTTCTCATTTTCAACAAGGATCTGGGTTTTAATGTTAAGTCAAAGAATCTTAGAAGTCTAGCTCCTGGATAAAACAAGAGCAAAACCATATTACGAATGAGACTATAACTTACAGTGGAATTCGCTGACTCTGGAATAAATAAGTTAAAGAATGAAGTTTCTGGCCTTCGGTAATGAAAATGGTGAACGTGAACATAGAATAATTCTGACACACCGTGCTACAAGGAAAACAAAAATAGAAATGGCAACTACTTCTCAGTCATATATATTTCTGACTGCTTCACATGAAAGTGAGACATTTCGAGTCCAGTAAGTTGGGGTCAGATCTGTGGTTTAGGTTAAGCCTCCAGCTGGCTGCAGCAGCGCCATCCCATGTGGGCACAGGTTTGTGTCCCCAGCTACTCTCCTTCCAATCCAGCTTTCTACTGATGCGCCTGGGAGAGCAGCCAAAGATGTCCCAAGTGCTTGGGCCCCTGCCAACCACGTAGGAGACCCAGAAAAGGCTCCTGGCTTCAGCTGGGGGCCCCTAGCCATTGCAGCCATCTGGGGAGTAAACCAGCGGATGGAAGGTCTCTCTCCTTCTCTCTTTATCTCTGCCTTTCAAAAAGAAAATAAAGAGTCCAATAAGCAGGGCTCTAAAAGGATTACAGGGGTCAGTGCTGTGGCACAGTGGGCTAAGCCTCTGCCTACAGCGCTGGAATCCAACGTGGGTGCCAGTTCAAGTCTTGGCTGCTCCACCTCCAATCCAGCTCTCTGCTATGGTCTGGGAAAGCAGGAAAGGATAACCCAAGTCCTTGGGCCCTGCACGGGAGACCCGGAAGAAGCTCCTGGCTCCTGGCTTCGGATTGGCTCCACTCCAGTTATTGCAGCCATTTGGGGAGTGAACCAGCAGATGGAAGACCTCTCTCTCTAACTCTACCTCTCAATAAATAAAATCTTTAAAAAAAAAAAAAAAAAGGATCACAAGGTACCTCTGGGTAAGTTTTCATTGCTTTCTATATTACGTTTAGAAATGGGCCTTACACTTTTAAAACCTTAAAAAAATCCAAATAGTCTTTGTTGTTCACAGTTTGTTGTACACAGTATCAATGCTGTTCCACACGTAAATTTCAGATAAACTAAAATTACCTGTAAAACGCAGCTAAATGCAGCTCAGCATTTTCAGCAACAAATTCAACAGATTTGTCATGGCAGTACACATCATAAAAAAGGGCTGTTTGTGACAACTGGTCATTAAGTCAGAGACAACTCCAGACCTCCAGATGATTAATGATGGGTCTTACAGATGCTAAAGTCAAAGTTCTAAATATTTCTTCAAATCATAAGAATCAAAAACACACAAACTGCTATCTTCTATGTTTGTTTTTCAACAATTACTCTAAAGGTGCACTCACTGCTAGCCAGCATTTGAGACAGAATAAACAAAATATCTTAATAAATTCTTCACAGATTTAAAGATCCTCTGCTTGACCCTAGAAAGATCAACCATCTGGAAAAAGAGAGATTCTTAAACTGCTTCTGCTTTAACTGACTGTGGTCTTTTATATCACTTGTGAGTAAGCAGCAGAAACAGTTCTGCAGCTCAGCATTTCCAGTGACAAATTCCCGCACATCTCAACTGTATGTACAGAAAACGGTCTCCCTATTTTCAGTCAGCCTGAATTTAAACCAATCGATCACTCACAAGCCTACCACACAGCAACAGTTTCTGCTGCAATCCTAGGTATACTGACAAGTTAATTGCCTTAGTTGCTAGAAAATAAAGCTGAGCAATTCTGGAGTGATCATTTTATATTCAGTGTAAATTCAACGAGTCAACATCTCTACAGGCTTCTGGGTCAGAACAAATGGAAGCCCTACATCCACCTCAGATAGAGATAAACAACTCAGAGGGACTGGTGCTGTGGCACAGCAGTTTAAAGCCCTAGCCTGCAGTGCTGGCATCCCACATGGGCACTGTTTCAGACTCCGGCTGCTCCACTTCCCATCCAGCTCTCTGCTATGGCCTGGGAAAGCAGTGGAAGATGGCCAAGTGTGTAGACCCCTGCACAAGGTCCTGGCTTCGGATTGGCTCAGCTCCGGCCATTGTGGCCGTTTAGGGAGTGAACCAGCAGACAGAAGACCCGTTCCTCTCTCTCTCTCTCTCTCTCTGTCTACCTAACTCTTTCAAATAAATAAAATATATCTTTAAAAAAATTCAGAAATATTAGATGGTTAACACAATGTTGTTAAGTGTCAAAAGAAATGCAAATAAAAAGTAGTCATCTTATTCTCAGGCATTTTACTCTATCAGACAACCCAGCAGTACTGCAAGATATGCATCTTATAGCAAAACAGTATCACTTGGACATTAGGAACTGCAGTTACAAATCCTACTACAAAAAAACCTTTTATTTAAATTTGCTAACTCTGGGGCCAGATTTGTGGCACACTGGGTAAAGCCGCTGCCTGCAACACTGGCATCCCATATGGGAACCAGTTTGTGTTCCAGCTGCTTCACTCCCAATCCAGCTCCCTGCTAATGACCTGGGAAATTAGTGAAAGGTGGTTCGGTTCAAGTGCTTAGGCACCCATGTGGGAGACCCAGATGAAGCTCCTGGCTTCAGCCTGTCCCAGTCCTGCCCACTGAAAGCATTTAGGGAATGAACCAGCAGATGGAAGACATCTCTCTCTCTCTGTGTAACTCTGAGTTTCAAATAAATAAATAAATCATTAAAAAAAAAAAAAAAACTCTTTCATCATTTCTTAACAGCAACAACCAGTGTTAAAAAACTTTCAGGTTATCACCAAGAATTTGCCAGGCCAACTTTAAACCTTAACACTAACGTACTCAAGATAATAACCATTAATAGACACAGACCTAATACAAAAAAAGAGGTTCATGACAGATGTTTACTATCTATAATGTAAGCTCCAGCATTTACTAAGAACGTATCTGCCTAATGACAAGCACTGAACAGCAAATTACCACCACACCAATTTTTGGTTTATACATAGAGAATCATCATCATCTCTTAGACAGTGTATCATGTCAGAGATAATTACAAAGATTATTTGACATAATCCTCAGAAACACTGTCAGATTAGCTCCACCTGAGATGAAAAAAAACTGAGGCTCAAAAAGTTAGCCTTCCAAAGCACAGAGCCAGGAAGCGGACAACTCAGGCCTGGTTGGCTCCCAACACCAAGTCCTTTCACTGCACCAGACTAACTTCCACCCGTGTAGGCTGGGATCTCTTGATGCTCTACATTAAATGGGAGGTAAGCAAGGGGCCATTTCCTTCATAGTTCAAAATAAGGCAGCAACACAGATGTGAGACATCCTAGAACGGTTTTAAAAACCTTAACAAAGAAGACAACACTGTAGGACAAGTCTTCCATTCCCTGAAGGTGACTTATTGAACAACTTAACACCAAGGTTCATCTTCCATCTTTATTTGTGATTAAGTCACAGCATGTGAGAATTCAAACATTTCAGTTTCCTCTGAAAATGAACTTCCAGTCAGGTCACCATGATAAAGAAATCCCTTGAAAAAGGTCATGAAAAAATTTATCTTGGTGTTCTAGGATTCATATTTTCTTCAGATATCACTAGACACACTCAAAAGTTGAACTTCAAAGGTCAAATTCATACAGGAAATTCCAGAGCTTCCAGAATGATACTCCAACCCTTAATAGTCATACAAGCAGGTGGTTCCATTTCAACAGTTAAGTCAAACTCAGAAAATTTCCCAACTCCACCTTAAACAAGTGCAAGTTTGCTTCTCTGCCTTGAACACTGTCCATTTACTGTTACTGTTATAAAAACAGCAAAAGGAAAAAAAAAAAGAGGAAGATTCGCAGAGATAAACTAAAATGAAAACTTTTCAAGTAGGAAGTAAGCCCTTCACTTTGGGAACAAATAAACAGGCCCTTGAAGGCGAAACAGACTAGAGCCAACATAGACTAATGGTCAAAAAGACCAACCACTGTGGCCAGATACCTTTTTTTTTTTTGCCTTAAATCCTAGCACCTTAAGTCTGCCATTTAGCAACTCTAATCCTTAGCAGGTAATTTAATCTCTTTGGGCCTCAGTTTTCTCCAATACCAAATAGGAATAAACCTTACCTCCATGAGACTGTCCTAAAATTACAAAATGTTTAGAACAGTCAGTGGTCTGAAGCAATTAACTTTGTCACTAATAGTTTATTATCACATACAGCCTTTGGCAAAGTTGGAACAAGAACGCCAATTCTAAAGTCCAGCTCATGGTCTTCCAAGATTATCATAAAGTCTCTAATTCCAAATTTGCCTTGTCATTCCAAAATACACAACTGAGAACCACAGATCCGAAACAATCATCCATGAACATCTACATGGCCTTCAAATGTAAAAAACAGTGAATGTTTTGCCCAAGTCCATGTTATCAACCAGCTGAGCAACCTGGCTTTCAAATTCACTATATAAGTGTGAGAATTCACCTAAGTGACTTCTACAATACCTTCCCCAAAATACTCTAGTTCAATAAGCTTTCTAAGCAAAACAAAATAAAAAACAGGCTCTCACCATCTGGCAATTTACCTATTCTTAAGAATTTTATTTCCATGAATAGAAAACCAGCAAAAACTTAGACATCATGTAATCACAACACATTGTCTTTTCCATAAAAGGCAAAAATTCACTTTACTCTTACTGTGGATAACCAACATCTATAACTCCCCATCCTGAAGGTGGTTCTCCAGGTAACTTGACCATCCATTTAGCTGCTCCTCACCTCTCCGAGTACTAAGACGGTAGAAAACTTACCTTCATCTCAAAAGTAACAGACTATTAAGACACTATAGTAATCCTGGCCCCACTAGATGACTTTCAAGAGTGGGTTTAAAGAAGGATTAATCCTAAAACATTCCAGACCAAACTGGAATGATCTTTTCATAAACTCAACAACCATGAGCAACTGGTTCTGTGATCTCGCATATTTGGGGGAAAGACTATCTAAATCAAGAATTTAAACAAGGTGCCATTTCCTGCTTAGCATATACAATCTATACTAGATGATGGAGCCAATTTCCTGGAAGACAAACGGTCTGCTGAAAAACTTCTCTTCTCACAAGTGGTCATTTAAGTGTCTTCATTTTTTTTTTTTTTCCTTTAGAAACATTTGTTACAAACCCAACTGTTCAGGCTGTCCTTCCTAAAGATGAGAAAGTCGATACCAAGACAGTCCAACTTTGGGCGATCCAAAGAGCAGTCTTTATTGGATTCCTAGTAATTACTTAGTTTGCATTTAGAAAATTCTCATCCAATCAACGAAAATCACATTCTTCTGGATTAGCAACAAATATTTCACTGATCTCAGTTCTTCAGTACAGCGTGCTAGTCATCCAGTGATCCATCTCCCGCCAGTGGTAAGTCCCCACAGAAGAGAAGGGCCAGGCTTCCTGGGGGAAAGGCCCTCCACACACCTACCAAGCAATGTTACTGGCGACCTCAGGGGCACCTGTAGGATACTTACGAATTTGTGTGCAGATATTCAAAGGTTAGCTGAGCTCGATTCAGACTGCTGTAATTTGTGAAGGCCATGACGGCAATGGGGTCTTCAGTCTTTCACCCACTAACTGGGAAATAACACTTGATTAGAATACAGATTTTTGCTGGGATTTCTTCCAGGGAAGGTTGAGGTGGTGCACCTTCAGGCTACCTAGTATCTACCGAAAATATGCTCAGAGCTGTCTTAAATGGCAATTGACCTCTTCTTGAAGCATACTTGAATATTCTCGATGATTGTGATGTAATATTTTGGAAGGAACTTTACGTCATAAACTGGTAGCCGAAGGAGCTGCTGGGGTTAAGTTTCGATCGCTCGATTCCAATGATTTGAATCAAATGTGGCTGGTTCTTGATTAGGGAGCCTATTACCGCTCCATCTTCGCGGTCTTCGAGGTGGGTTTTTTTTTTTTTCTTCTCTCCTAAATTTTCAGCGACGAAGACTTAGCAATCTGGAAATTTCTGTCCTAACACTGAACGCTCACTCATGTCTTCGCCACCAGGACGGTCGGAATCTTTAGACAGGCCCTAAATCGGCGAACGCCACGTCGACGAAGTGTTCAATGGTGCTCGGGTGCTCGTTCCGGCTTCACCACCTCCCAAATGAAAGAGCTCTCGGGTGGTGGCTGACCGTCTTGGTTGTTGTTTTTCTCTCTCTCTCTCTCTTTCAAAGCCTGAACACACCCAGCTTGCGGCCCGGCCACAGTCTCCTCTGGCTGGTGTGCCCAATTACCTCACAACGCCCGGATAAACCTCACAATCTCCCCGCGCGAACGGCCTCAGGACGCCAGCGCCCCTCCCCCTCGCGCCTCGGACAGCGTCTGCAGGCTCTCGGGCCCTGCCCGGGCCTCGGTCCCCGGGGCCGCCGCCTCCCAGGCAGGCTCAGTCCCAGCTTTCAGGGCAGTGGCGAGCGCACCACCCGAGCAGGCGTTGCCCGGAGCTCGCAGCAGCCTTTGTCCCCTCCCCGCGGAATTGGAACCCGACAACCGCAGCGCGCTCTTGGAACCATGTGCTGCCGCCGCCGCCGCCGCCGCCGCCGCTGTCGCCGCTGCTGCCGCCGCCGCCGCCGCGACCGCCCGCGCGCCGCGCAGGATGTGAGGATGACAGGACCCGGCGCCACGAAATCTGGCGTTCAGGGCCGCTCTGCTGCCTCCGCCACAGCCACCTCGGCCACCGCTTTGTCTTCACCAAGGCACACAGCCCCGGCCACCTCGCGCACTCCCCGACGCCCCAAACCCCCGAGGCCCCCGCGGTGCATCCCGCCAATCACAAAGCCGCAGCTCCTCCCGCCCCCGCCCCGCTGTCCCGCCTCCTGATTGGCGGGCAGCGTGTCCCCCACGTGACCGGATCTCGGCTGGCCGGTCCCGCCCCTGTCACGTGAAGGCGCGCTCCTCTCTTCCTGCTTTCCTGACCCTCTCCGCCATTTAAAGAAACAGTACCGGGGGCGGGCCGAGCGACGCAGCCGGGACGGTAGCTGCATCGCCGACCGGAGGAGCCATCTTGTCTCGTCGCCGGGGAGTCAGGCCCCTAACTCGAAGAAGCCCTGGCGCGCCCTCCCCCCCTCCCCGGTCTGGTAGGGCGAAGGAGCGGGCGCGCGGTCGATCGAGCGATCGGTTGGCGGCTCTTTCTCCTGCTCTGGCATCCAGCTCTTGGGGCGCAGGCCCGGCCGCCGCGGCGCGCGCCCGGTGGCCGTTGGCGGTCGCGCCGCGTCTTTCTTCTCGTGCGCAGAACTCGCGCGGCGGCCTATGCGTTTGCGATTCGACGAGGAGTCGTCCGGGTGGTCGGCGGTGGCGGGCAGCTGCTCCGCCCCGCTCCCGGGGAGGCGGCGGCGGCTGCGGCGGGATTTGGCGCGGCCGGGGAGGCAGGGGTGGCCGGGGCGGGCCTGGACGCCTGGCGCCACCCTTCGGGGCCTGCAAGGACCCAGCTTGGGGGGCAGGAGGGGGCCGGAGGATGGTTGGTGGTGGGCTTTCTACTCTGCCTTTTTCTCCTTATGCCGCCTTAGTGCGGGGCGAGAGCTCTGGCGGCAGCTCCGGGGTGGGGAGTCGGGCTCCGGAGTCGGAAGAGCTGGGTTTGTTTCCGGGCCTAGCGACCAGCTGGCCGAGTGACCTTAGGCTGGGCACTCTGTGATTTGCGCCTCAGTTTCCTCCTCTGCCCGTCGTGTGGGATTGAAAGGCGCTTTGTAAAAATGCAAAGCGTCGGTGTACGTAAAGGATGATCATTGTGTGTAATGTGGGTTGTTTTTTGTTTTGTTTTGTTTTGTTTTTTTGAGTTGTAAGAAAACTTAGCAGTTGGCCTAATCCTTGGATGTTGAACTTGGGAACCTTGGATTGGAGCTGGAGATTCCCCAGACTCCCTGGAATTGTATGCAGAAATTTGTGGAGATGGGCAATTTTATTTTATTTTTTTAAGGGAATGATGATCCACCGCTAGCAAGTTTTCAAAGGGGGTTATGACCTAGAGGGCTGAAGAGCGACCACCACTCTTTGATGCCAACAGGGAGGAAACTGAGGCCTAGATGTCATTTGGGACCCTTCACAACCGATTTAAAGCCCCTGTTTGAGTCCCTGGGATATGTGAGCTGTTTCTATGCATAATGGATATTTGGGGGTGACAGTGCTCCCCTGCTTGGCTTCTGTTCTGAATCCTGTCCTTTCACCATGGGGTGCCTGGAGGGTAGCTAATGCCTATGGTACAATGGCACCCGACGTAAAGCAGCTACGGTTAGGAGTGGGTGCGTTCGCTAGTATCAAGAAGCCTATTTAATCTTGGGCCCAGCAATTCTTGGTGTTCTGCTGTTTATACTGGTGCCTGATTACCTTTCCGACTCCCTTCGTTGACCATTTTTCATGACTGTTGTTTGCCATCCGTTACCTGCTCCTATATTGTCTCCCTGGTCTGCGTGGTCGGTAGTGAACAGGCTTATTTTTTAAACAGTGCTGCCGAGCCCAGCGAATAATGGTGCACGTGGATCTTTTGCAAGCGGGTTCCCTGGAACACACTGAACCAGGCATGGGAGTCCTGAAGATGTTTGGGGGATTTTCCTTATTTAAAGTTAACCTCTGAAAAGTTTTGTTAGAACTCCTGCTGAACTTCAAAATCACTAGATTTGGAAGTGATTCAAAGTTTAACTTTTCCTTGGCCTGCCTTGTATTCTTATTGCTTGTGTGATAATAAGATGGCAGAAATGCCAAGTTTTGCTTCTTTGTTAATTGTCAGCTGCTTTTTATCAAATTCCAGGCCATTATCCAGTAAACACTAAAAAAAAAAAATGTTTGAACAGTTGCGTTTCAAACATTTTCACTTTGTGGAGTGGTGCTTACCAAGTGGTACAGCTCTTAAGCAAGTGAACATATTTCAATGTATTTTGTCTGATTAGATATTAGCCAACTCTGCTGTTCAGATGTCTGAAAAAAATATCAATTGACTGTTGCCTTTACCTAAAGGGCAGAGACAAAATTATGTCACTTCCAGAGAAATGACTGTTTCGGAGGAAAATGTGTTGGTCTTTTTGCTCTTTTGTAATTAAATCTGGACGTACCTCAGAAGAATCTTGGAAGTGTGGTGATAAGGTGCTTTCCTCAGGAGAAACGAGGGGAAAAAGCAACTGGAACTCACAAGCTTGAAATTCTGTGACAACATGAAATGTCCAGGATTGGAATTCGGAAAGGTTTTTGCCACAGTCTGAGCAGGTATCGCTCCGTGTAGCCGCAGCCAAGGACTCCAGATTTGTCAAGAACTTGACCCCAAATCCAGAAGAGCTTGTCGGGTAGTGACAGGAGCTCTGGAGGTAGTTTGTTTTGTTTTGTTTTCCTTTTTGGACTGTTGACCTTGCTGTGAGAAAAGAGACAACGACTGAGCAACACTGCCACCAGTGCTGTTACTGGGAATTAGAAGACCTGAGTTTCTGTCCAGACTCGGTGCAAACTGATGACACTCTATCCAAAGTGAATTACGGTACTTGCCATTTTCCAAGCTGCCTTAGTCACCATTTTTGCACTTTTGTTCATACTGTCTTCTCCACCCTGGAAATGCTCTTCTCTGGTTCTTCACCTGTTGAAACTCTGCCATTTCCTCAGTCTCCACCCCAGATGCTCTTGTCTCCATGACTCTTGCCTTTAATCACAAAGTTGTCTTTCTGGTAACATGCTGTTATATAGCTTTTATTTATCTTTGCCTACAGAACCTTATTTGCATGCATTTACTCTTCACAGATAGCAAACTCATTGAAAGCAAGGGCTGTTATGTATATCTTTGTGCACACATACCACCACCTGCAGTGAAGCATTTATTTCAAAGGAATTGAGAGAGCAGAGTGCCTTAGAATCAGCACTCAGTGTTTCTTTACTTGCTGTGTAATAACTAAGATGACTCTTCATTGAAAGAAAAGTCACTAGATGTGGACCATGTTTATTTCATGTTTTATTTTTCAATTATAAATATTAAGGTCTAGGGAGCCCTTGGACATAAAGAAAAGCTGATATGTTGAACAGAATATTACATACAGAAGTGCCTGAGGACCAAGGCCTTATTTCCTCCTATTCAAGATGGAATCTTGGTGCAAGTGTTTGCCACAGCTGTTAGGAAAAGGCTTGGGACACCCAAATCCCATATTAGAGTGTCTAGGTTCCAGTCCTGGCTCCTTTTCCAATTCCAGCTTCTACTAATACACACTCTAGGATACCTAGTTGGGTCCCTGCCACCCATGTGGGAGACCTGGATTGAGTTCTCAGCTCCTGAGCATATAATAGAAGATTGAACCAGCAGATGGGGAAGTTTGTGTGCTTACACTTTTCTATCTCCCTTTCTCTCAAATGATATTTTTCAGATGGTAGCGTTTTCAGAAAGTTAAGTGCAGCTTTTAAAAGCAGGTTATAAACAATTTGAGAAAGGCATTGGAAAAGAAGGACAACATCTACTTTGTTGTCAATATGTAACCTTAAAAATCTCACTTTTTGTGCCACCTTTGAAACCACTTTTTCCTCTGCACCAACTAATGTCCAGCAGCCTGAATATAATCGGATCACTCCCCTAAGTATGAGGTTTTGGGCAGTTCCTGTTTGCTGAGTCCTTGAGACGGTTTGTTCTCAGGAGTCAGGAAACAATCTTTGCCACGGAACCCTTTCTGTTTTTATTATCACTGATTATTTGTTAGGCTTTTGGGTGTTTGGGGGCAGGGGGATGTCAGTCACACTCCACCCCAATTACCATACGTCAGTTTCTAAGCCAGGGTTGTTGGGAAATAATATCTGTCAAGCCACTAAGGTGCTGACAGTAGACTCACCTCAGAGTGACAGAGTCTTGGGTTTGTAATTACACACATTTGTTGTCTTACCTATTTTGTCCCTGCCCCTTCTAGTCCTGTGCCTCCTGATTGCTGAGTGTTCACGTGGACCTTCTGATCACCTTCCTCGTGCTGTTCCATCGGCCCACAGATCTGGTACCTGGATTCTTGCCCATAGTGATTTCTACCACCTTACTACTGATGAAGACACCATTCCAGTGGACCACTGTGATCCAGGAGGCGTGCAGCCATCGTGATGTGGCCTTTACCTCCACTCCTGTCCTGTTCTACCCAGATTCAGCACAGCCTTTTATAGTCAAGAGTCAGAGTCCTCAAGCCAAATAGCTGAAGCTATTTCATCACAACAAGGGCCCAGTTTGTTCCATGAGTATGCATTTCATTTCTTCAGTGAATGCCTTCAGAGACACATAAGTTTGGATCAGGGGATTTTTTTTTTTTTTAAGTTGTCAACGCTATCTGAAGAAAGGCAAAATGTCTTTGAGAATGGCATTGGACCACATACCACAATCTCAAATGACTGAAGTTCATGAACCGTCTGGGATCCCCATCAAAGTCACTGGACTCTGTTCTTTTTCTACTTCAACTTTGTTGTAGCCTACTGAATAAGAAGGCAGATATTCTGACCCATTGGGATCAAAACAGAGGCACAGTGAACTCCTCATAGCATCTTCTTTGGGATTACTCAGGAACCAGAACTTTTCACACAAATATAAGAAATTCTGCCAAGGAATCCCTTTACCAAACAGCATCTCACAAGGCTCCAATCAGATTCCAGAAAAGGCCTCTTGATACATCAAGGTAGAACATATATGGTAATCCCCTCTGTTTATGTATAGCACTTTACAGTTTTAAAAGCACTTTTACATATGCTAATCTCACTTATCAAAATGACACAATAAATTATAATCCCTTTTTTAAATGAGGGAATAGAATTGTAAAGGTTAAGCAGTTACCCAAGGTGGCACAGCTATAAAGTAGTAGAGGCCAGGCCTTCTGACTCCTAGTCCAGTATTCTCCATAGAATTAACTTAGCCTCACCTTTACCTGCAGTGTTAAAATGGTTGGAGGTTAAGATCACCTAAAGAGTTTCTAACTTTCTTTTCCAGTACCTTTAATCAGACAAAATTTTATAAGTGTAATCATGATAGCTGCTTCTAGACCAGAATCTCGTTCAACTTGCCTGAGATTTAGAAGTGACCTCTCGGTGGTAGATTGTTCAGTCAAGAAGGCACATACTCATCTGATAACAAGGATATATAACATGAAACACAAAGCTACTTTTAGATCTATTGCCTGTTTTCATGGTCTCTCCAAGGATGGCCTAATCAATTGGGGATCCCTATTCATATTATATATGTGTATGGGGTTTTTTGTTGTTTGATTTTTTTATTTTTTAAAGAGTCAGTATTCCAATCACCATGAACCTATCTGTGGTCCTATATCCCCAAACTAGTATTTACACAAAAATGAGCCATCTTTTTTTCTTTTTCTTTTTTTAGAGCAGTGGTATGTGTGTGTGTGCATGTATGTATGTGTGTGCGCGCGCATGCGCAAGTTTTGTATATATCATATAGAGAGCTTTCTGTTGTCCGTTGTCCAATAAGGTGGTAAAATGTGTCCCTTTTCCCAGTCAACAACGTAGCAAAGTGAATCAAATATCTCAAAACTTACAGCAAAGAGTCCCATTTTGCTATTTAACCCAGTAAGTCATAAGTTTAATCATGCACAGAATAGTGTTTTTTTAGCATTCCTTTTAACAGAATAGGAAAACTGCTTTAAAGCAGTGTAGCCAGTGTGATTATCAGCAGATTGCCCTGGAGATTCTGTAATATACAGAGTATCATTGAACATAAACACACACACCCACTGTATCATGAACTGCTTGAATTGGTATGTTCTCAGAGCCCTACATCTTGGCTATTACCTTATTTTCTGTGAGGAGAACCTTTAGAACATTTCTGGGGCTGCCTAGGAGGGAAATGGGACAAAGTTAACCTGCCCCAAAACTGAGCAAATTCCATGATATTTAACAGTATATTTCTCTGCCCTTAGATTTGTGCCATAAAGTGTGTTCATGAGGGGTGGATAAGGAGATTCAGAAAGGGAAGGGAGAAGCTAGAGAAAAGGATAAGAATGCAGTACTAGAATTGAGTTGTGGCCCACTGAGGTCTTAGCATTGCTTGAAGAGAAGTCATCCATCCATGGACTTCTTGAAGTAGTGTTTGCAAAGAAATGGATCGATTTTATAACTTTAAAAAAAAAAAGTGCTGTAACAAAATTAAGCCAATAGTCTTGTTTTCTGATAGTCATTTAAAAGCCAACTTCAAGCAATTAGAATTTATAGCAGACTTAAGTTTTGATTCCATCAACATGTAATGTGGTCCACATCAGGGAGAGAATGACTAGGAAGAGTCCTTGGCTTACCACAGGCTTTGCTCACACAGTTTCTGGTTTCTGTGACCTATTTTTTGTATTTCAGCATTTTGTGAACAACTTATTCTTAGATCATTGGTTTTCCAAAGGCTTTGTAGCCATGAAGCCCTTTGAATGAAAAATGTGCAGAAGCCCAGAGTAAAAGTGAAGCTGTTCTGGGTGAAGCAGTGAAGCAGTGAAGCAGGAATGGGGGCCTGAAACCTGCCAAAAGCATCTTTACCATCATGGTGACACCCAAGGGGACTTCCTTGGGTACTCTTCAGAACACAGTTTGAAAACCACTGCCCTAGATAACTTGTTGACCTGAAAGACATTGTGATGTTTTCTGTACCTCTACTCAACTTCTTGTCCACTTGATGCTGGACTTTCTTAGGAATACTTACTGTGTGCAATCTTGGAAAAACTGCAAGAAGATGGGCATGTCCTTGCCCCCCCCAACCCAGAAGTCAAATGACCTACAAGTGGTGTGAAGTCAACCTAGATTTAACAGCCCAGACGGATTTCCAGTGATTCCTGGAATTGGATATAGCCAGATAGTGTCTTGTGTGTTCCTTACACTGAAAAACTCACCTTATTGAACTTTACTCACAGACACCGGATGTTCTAGTGGTACTTGCAGTACATGATTGAAGTCTTGATCCTCCAGGAAACTGCATTGAATCTGATGCCTCGTCGAGGCCGTCTTAAACCAGTTTATACATTTGACCTCTCGTCGTCAGCCATAGTACTCTACTTTATGTGCAAGAGAGAACCATGACCGATGAAAGCAGAATTGCAATATTAGCAACATTTCCTAAAGGGACTTCGTACCTGATTATCATCCATCATTTTACCAATCTACAAATTGCTATGATTCAACCAGTGGCAGTTACACTGCTACTTATTTTTTATTCCGTTTAACTGCTGTTTCCAAGATAAATGAGCTAATTACCTTTTAAAAACAAAGGCCAAAAACAATTCCTCCATCACTGGTGTATCTGCATATTCTACAAAATTGTGACTACTCGAAACTGCTGGTCCTCAAGAGACAATCTTTGAATATCCCTTCTTGTATGTGTGATTTAAAATGTACATTTGGACTTCCAAGATGAATCTTAATGTCTGGTAACATCAACTATACATGGGTAGGAATCAGTGGAGGAAGGCCCTTTGACCAAGCCATGATACTTAATTACTGGTCGTTTCTAAATAGTGTATTGTCCACCTTCTTGCTGGAAACATAGACTGACTTGAAAAAGAAATCTGCAAAGACTGCAGCTAAGGATTTTATCAGTAGACACATCCTTGTGGATGTTTTAATGGAATCACATCTGTCTCAGTATTGTCATTTTATGCTGATTCAGAGTGACTGCATTCCTTGCCATGGAATACTCAGGCATTAAGTCAGCTTATCTGTTTCTGCAGGAAGGATTCAATTAATGAACTCCCAGACCAAATCATGTTGAACAAAGACTGATCTGTGTCATGAGAAAAATTACATTCCTTTACTCACAGTCAACCTAAGGGCCAGCTATCCTCAGCTACTATATTGAATGCACTGGTTAAATGTTGGGAATGGTTTCTTTATATCCTTTCTCCTAATCCTCTAGACTAATTGTTGATTATGTGACTCCATGAATCATCAAGCAAGGCCTAGGTCTGGTTGCTGTAGACTGCTCAACCTCAACAAATGAAAATAAAATTTGGATGACTAGCCTGCTTGTATATACAACTCTTATTTGTAAAGAAGTTCTCTATAGACTCAATTTTCTACTACCTTCAGATTATCAGCTGTTTTTCTTCTCTGCTTATTCCTGTACTTTACAAAAAAGTGATCTTGATCTCTACCAGTCATTCCCTCTAATCCTGTCATACTCAGTCAAAATCAGAATTTAAGATAGGGATGATCATCTACTCAAGGGTCTAATGTACTAATGTATACTGTGCATAAGAATTGGTGATTGGAAAAGCAGAATACCTAAAACTTAAACCAGTGGAGCTTGCCTAGTATCCTCATGCCTCAGAGATCAGCTAACCTTTTAATAGCACCATTCAACCAATCTGAGGCCTTGATTTGCTTGTAATATTCTCAGAGATGGGCTTACTTAAAGAAAATGAAGACTTGATTACCAAAGAAAGTAGGGCCAACTTTGACAGATCTGGCTCTGCCAACCCTATTGCTCCCAGATGTAGCATAGATTACTAAACAGAACCTCAAGTCTGGATTGGAAATACAGCCTTCTCCTAAGCTGAAAGTTCCTGGGCAGATGAGCAGGAAAATTAAAGCTGCTGTACCTGACTGGCCCATTAAGATCAGAAAAATGTATCCAGAGTAAGCCCTATGAATTAACCCTGGAGTGCTCGGGGTAAAGACTGATTTACAGAGCTTCATTATTTGCCTGTTCTTCCAGATAGTCTCCTGGCTGTTGGTATGGCTGGCCCTACTGAAGTTAAACTGCTTGTCTATTTACCCGACTCAGCTCTTACCTGCCATTTTTGACATGTTGCTGCCATCAGACTGACAATGAGAAGACAACAGCCTGTTTCAGCCTATCTTGTGCCCAGTTCCACCAAGAATTTTTGAGTACAAACAACCCACTCTTCACCCCACGAAGACATAATGTTCACAACAGGAAAGACTATGTTATACATTCCTTGACTTTTTTTTTTAAGTGCAAAGTAAACCTCTATACCTGTGTGTGATTGCTTTCAGCACTTGGACTCTCTTACACCAGATCAAAACCAGTGTCTGTGTCTCTGCTGCAGTGGCACAGAGATGAGTCTGAATCACCAGTCCTTTTAGAGCTGCAAGTTTAACTTGGCAAAAGACTTAAAAGAGCACAAGAAAAGTTTTTCCAGTTTATCGTTGACTCAGATAACCTCCCAAAACTGTTTGCCAGTTGGAGGTTAGTTGTCCTCATCAGCAAGACAGTTGGGTTCTCAGACTCATGAACAGTTTGCTTGTGTTGGAACTCAGTGCATCTACAGTATGTTACTGAAGATGATTCTTCCCTTCAGATGGACTACAGGCATCCTGAAGAGGGACACATTTGTCCTTCATGGGTTTGGATTTTTTTGCTTCTTTTTTTTTTTTTTTTTTTTTTTCCAGAATTTTATTACAAAGGAAGAAACAGTGCCAGTGTTAACCATTCACCTTCATGAGCAGAGTTTAAACCTTTTCAGTACCTGGTCTTATCCTGGACATCAAGTTGTTTTTAACTGCCCAGCATCCATTCCATCCTACTATAACAACTCCTTGGTGTTTCTTGGAACCACCTCTTCAATTTGCATCCATGTGGTTTAGACAGTCTGACCCAGTCTTGAGCTTTATAGGTGGATGTCTGATTAAATCATCAAAGTTCATCTCCTTGACCATAGTCATTGGTTGAGGAATGTTCATGTGACTCAAGTTGGTCCAGTGATACTCAACTCTGGGAATTTTATTGAATTGTGGAGGAGAAACTCTCCATTGAGGTGCTTTAGTTTGGGAGGATGAAAACAAATTGAACAGGGCTTACCATGTTGAATGAGCCAGTCAGAGAATGAAACCAGTGCAGAGGAAGCAGAGCCAAAAGTTGGAGAGACTTGAGTCCTGATGACAACATTAGTGCCCCCTGGATCCAACTGTGCCTGAAGCTAGTATATCCCCTGGACTTTCCAGTTATGTGAACCAATAAATATCCTTTTTTGCTTAAGTTATTTTGAGTTTCTGTTCATTTCAAATTGAGTCCTGGCTAATTTGGTATCCACTCAATGCTGAAACTTGACAGACCCAAATATTTATTAAACTATCAGCCACAGTGACAATGGAATATTGTCCAAACAAAAATGAAACAGGAACTGAGAATAGTTACTACAGAAACATTAAAAAATTACATATTAGAAAATAATAAAACCTAAATGTCCATCAGTGAAGGTTTGGTTAAGTAAAGATGGTTCAGCCTTATAAGAAGATCTACTTATCTGTTCAAATGAAGGAAGTACATTTATTGTGTACAGTCAAGGAAAAAATGGTCATGAATGTTAAATGAAACAAGGTACTGATAGGAAAGTGTATAGGTGAACTCATTTAAATGTGTTTGCCCATGTTTATAAAGGCATCAAAAATCTAATGACTTTGGAACAGTGTAGATTACATGAGGCTTTCAACATTTCTGTATTTGAATATTTTACACTCCCAACATTATTTTTAAAATAAAGAATTTCTTCAATTTAGTGCTTACTGTTTGACCTTGGCAAACTTTGAGCCTGTATTGTACCTTTATATCAAAGAATAGTAAATACCTTTGTCATCCAGTACTCAATCTGACATTGCTAGACCTTTTTGAAAACTAGAGCTTAGTAGTTGTCCTTAATTTTGTTTAATAGTATCTCTTTCAAATGTCTGAGTGAATGTGGGCTGCTGCTCTGTGACCTGAGGAAGGAAGGGAGGAATAGCGGTTTATAGCAGCAGTACAATAATGACAGAGCCCCCCCCCCCCATCATTTCATGTACCTATTAAAGGCAAAATTGGAGAAACAGGTAGCTGAAAAGCAGTAGGGCTATTTGAAGTAGGTAAAGAAGGCCAAGACCGTTGAGTTGGGGTAGTTGCTTGGATTGCATTGAATAATGTTAAGAGAATAAGCTCACACCTAGAAACTTACCTGTTGATACAGAATAAAATCCAGGGCCTTTACAAATTCAGGGTGAATGAATCCCTTTGACCTTGAACCAAAAGTAGTATTTGGAAATTGATTTCCCAAATTGCAATTACAATTTTAGTTGGAATCAGCATTACAAAGGTCTCTGTGAAAGTATTAACCAGAAAAACCAAACTGACTTAATAAGTGTTGATAACTGGCAGGATTCTGAAGACTTGAAGAGTACCAACCCCAAATACCAAAAACAAAGGTTTGGGTCACCCCGTTGTCAAAAATCGGTGATTGAAGGGGGGAAAAATGGAGAATATGAGGAGGAAGAGAGAAATACAGTTGCAATCTTGTAACATGTTGCAAAAAAAAAAAAATCTATAGCATTTCTCTCATTTCTCCTAGCTTGCTTTAATTTTATTTCCTGTCTCTTTCCTCCAATCACATTACTCTACTCTTTCCATAACCCTGACAGAAGTTTGAGCATGATGAGTTAATCCAACCAGATTTCCCATCCTTTGGAGTTGAGCCATTCGATGGCCATGTCTTCACTAACAAATTTGGATATGTTGGTGATGACTAAAATACACCAGTAAATCCATAAGGTTCAGGTTATTCTGATAGGGTTAAGAAATAGAAGATAATGAACATCAACCAAAAAATCTTAGACTTGACACTGGATGTAATTAGCTATCATTAGCTATTATATATGTATTAGCTATTGTTTTAGGTTACCTCCCACTGGGAAGGAGATGTATCTGTTTTCTACAGTATGTTGGGTAGAGGTATTATAAGAAGTTCACATCTGCATAGTGCACATTGGCCTAGCTGGTGTCTTCCCCCCTCCCCATCCACTTCTCTGAGAATAACACCTCACCTTTTCTTTGGCATGCTATCCTTCCTTGATGCCATGTAATCCCAGCAGACAATACTCCCATAATACTGTATGTTAGTGGCATATGTGAGGCTCTGAGCTGGCCACATTTTCCAGTTTTCTTGAACTTTAAGCTTTTCCAATTTTTGCCAACTGCCTCATCTCCTTCAAATTAAAGTAACTGAGTGTCCAGTGTTGTGTAGCTGGTGAAGCTGCCACCGGCAATGCCAACATCCCATATAGGTGTTGGATCGAGTCCTGACTGCTCTGCTTCCAGTCCAGTTCCCTGATAATGCACCTGGGAAAGCAACAGAAAGATTACCCAAGTGCTTGGGGCCCTGTACCCACGTGGGAAATGTGGATGAAGCTCCTGGCTCCAGGCTTTGGACTGGCCCAGCTCCAGCCATTGCAGCATTTGGGCAGTGAACCAACTGTAGAAAACAGGTGGAAGATCTCTTTGTCTCCGTCTCTCTGTAGTTCTGCCTTTCAAATAAATCTTTAAAAAGAATAATAAAGTGGCTGAGTCGACTGTTGCATATGGCTGCACAGGATAACCCCTATACAACTATACAGAGTCCTGTAGCCAGGGTTGGTTTTTGTTACCTACACTCAGAAGACCAACTGCATCAGTGTCCATCCTGATGGACATGCCTTAAGCCTTCTTATGTTGTAAACTCTTAGAAAAAAATCTGATCCATTCCCATGGCCTTGGTTTCCGCCTGAATATTGGTGACTTTGAGGTCCCAGCCTTCAGATATTTCCTGAGCTCCAGATGTGTACCTGTTAGCTTGATGTGCCATACTTGATGAATGCAAAGCTGCCCACACCCAACATATTTTCTCCTCCAACTGCTCTCCTTTCAGTATCCCCTTTCTTGATAAATGGCACCACTCTCTCTACCCTGCTTCTGAAACCAAAACTTGGGAGTTATTCTTGAAGCTTTCCTTTCAACTCACCCCAGGTATCGGTGTCATTAAATTCTCTCCATGTTAACAGATAACGCAGCAAAACTGCTTCTGTCTCTCTTGTCCAAGAGAAGATCATCTGCTGCTAGACTGTTAGAATGCCTTTCTTGGTTCACTGGCCCTCCCACAGTCTGTTCACTGAGCAGTGGAGTGGTCTGTGACACACAGATCTGATTGTGTCACTTCACTGTATAGAACAGTTTAAGAGTTTCCATTATTTCAGAAGAAAGCCTACTTGGCTCAGAAGGTTCTTCTCTACTCCTCAAGCCTCGTCTCACCACTTCAAACAGAAGCAGCTTAATTTTGTATATTGGAATTTCCTGGAACTTGTAAGAAGGGGAGAAATTTCTGTTAAAAAGAAAAAAAACTTGTGAATAATTAGGAACAACCCAGTAAATGACTATTGATACAAGCACTACATTTTCTTTAATATTTACTTCCATGAAGTTTTCTTCTAAATTATATTTGAAATACATGACAGCAAAAGTGTGATCCCTAGAGAGCAGTCACATCCTTCAGAACATGTACAAGAATACGTAGCAGAAGGACTACAGATTTAAATGTTAAAATATTCAGAAAATACTTTAAGAGGTTTTTTATAATCTTATGATGAGAGGTCTGCATAAACAAAACAGAAAACCTAGCAACCATAAAGGAAATCATAGACATGTTTGACTACATAAAACAGATCTCAGTTCCATAAAAGACGTGATAGACCAGGGAAATATTTCAAACATAAGCAACAGATTCTGGATAAATTTCCCAAGTACACACAAAGTTCCTACAAATTGGCAATACTGTAGACTTGCATTGCCTAATGACGGGAAATGGCGAGGAATAGGTCCTTAGGGGATTTCATTGTTGTGCAAACATGGAGTTGCTTACACAAACTAAGCTATGACATCACTAGGCAATATAATCTGAAGAGGACCACCATTATATATGCAGCTCATTGTATGGCACAGGACTAATTGCAGACCAGTTAGTGCTTGCTGTGTGCTAGGCATTGGTCAGGGCACTTTCCGAGTATCTCATTTACTCCTCACAACCGGATGTTACAGTAATATTATCCTTATTCCTTATTCTTCCTTAGCTGCTTTACAGCTAAGGAAACAGGTTCAAAGGGATAAAGGAACTTGTCCACATCAGACAATAGGTGATGTAGCTTTGACTCAGACTGAAGTAGTCTCATTCAGAGACTGTGCTTTGAACCATGATGCTGTTCTGCATTCTGGTAAACAAATGAGAGAGGATCATCTGTATATATGATCCACAAGATGTAAATCAGAGGAATAACCAGGTACCATTTTTGCCTATTAATATCAGATGCTCTTTTAAGTATAAAAGTAAAATGATCTACAGTGCTGGCAAAAATCAGGATAAATTGAAATTTTGGTGCATTGTCGACAGCAGTGTGGATTCTTCAAATCTTAGAAGGAAATCTGGCAATGTTGATTACAATTTTAAAGGCTGTTTAACACAGCAGTCCTGCCTTGAAAACTACCTCAGAGAATTAAAAATCCCGAGATGTGAGGATTCCAGTACGAGTTTACTGCAGCATGTTCTGTGGTCAGCAGAGAAATGGAAACAGATGGAGAGTCCTATCAGAGGAGATAGTTGAATTGGTTTTAGAACAGCTATGCTATGGAGTCGTGTACCACTGTTCAAAAGAATGCTATCTCTGGCTCTTAAACCTGTGGCATGTCCATGAGGTACCTCTTAAGTAAAAAGAAAACAGATTATATGATAACCTTTTTTTATTAAAAAGCAAATAAAAATGTGCAAATGTGTCTAAACAAGCATGAAAGGAAAGCAGAAAGATGAGCCAGGTTATTGTGGTTGAGACTGAGGATTTGAAGAAAAGTCAGTACTGACAACACCAGCATTGTTTCACTGGTGAGAAGCACCTGCCTCCCCCCCCCCCAAGAAAGTTTACCAATTTCTATGGAAAATAATTTAAATATAATTTTAAAAGTAACTAACTTGGAATTTTTCATTAGAATATATACTAAAAAGGGGCACAAAAAATTTTTTTAAAAAAGGAGAGCAACAAAACTTAAGAATTGGTTGAATCTTTTGTATTCAGAGTTGCCTTTTGAAAAACGCTTGGTTTCCAGGGCTGGAGTAGTACAGTGGGTTAAGCTGCCATCCTTTCTGAGCTGTGGTTCGACTCCTGGCCTCTCTACCTCTGATCCAGCTCCCTGGTCGTGTGCCTGGGAAGGCAGTG